ATATATATGTAAGTATATTTTGCAGATTCCAGAAGCTATTGTAGGTTTACTTTTGACGGATAGATCTGGCAGACGAGCGCTTCTACTGGTTAGCGTTGTAAAGAATGCAATCTAAGACAGTGAAATTGTTGAACAAGAAGTCAGAAATGTAGTATTCCAATTTATGAAGGTCTCTGCAAGTGGAATGTGTTTCTCCTGCTTCCTTGTAGGACTGTCATTCTGCTTTAAGGTACAACCATAAGTTTGGAAAATAGTATTCCAATTTATGCAGTTTCTCTTTCTGAAAACTTGTTTTTTATCAGGAACTCTGAAGGCGCTTACTCCCACTCTAGCAATTACCGGCTTTTTGGTACTTCAGTCTAACCAAAAGATGTTTGTTTCCCCTTATATTCTTCCAAGTTTGGGCAAACTATGTATATGTTGATCCACATGCAAACTCAGGTCGCTGCTGCAGCTTACACAATAGGATTGGGAGGAATACCATGGCTTGCCCATAGTTCGCAGAAGCCTTTTGATTTGCTTCAGTTGAGATTTTTTAAATTTAGCATTATATAGAAGACAATGTATCAGTAGTAGTGGGAGTAGTTGATGATTTTCTGAACACTGCTTGTATATATATTTCCTATTGAGGAGAATATGTTGTGCCATTGTGTTATGGTTTCAGAGCTCTTTCTTCCTCTGCAACTTAGCTTTGTTTACGTGTGTGTGAGAATGCGCCTGCATCCCTATTTTCCATCACAATTTCAGTGGATCCAAGGAAGTTCAGTTTATTGTGTTCTTGTCACATAGTAAGCTCTTTCATGGGGGACCATGTCTATTTCGTTGGGCAATTCACAACGGAAAGCAACAGTGTCTAGGCAAATGGACTGAATTGGAGCAGGTCATCTGAGGTTCGGATTGTTTTGAGTTCATGTCATTCCGGATTTGGATCGTTTCGAATATAAATCAATTCATATTCTAGTTATGGTTGGAATATAATTGATTATTAAATTTTAAATTTTTAATATTAAGTTTGGATTCTTATCACTTTTTGAATCAAATCAGCCTTGAATTTAAATCATTTCAAGTAGGTCATCATAATTATTGTCCACTCAGGAACAAATGTACCATAAAAAACAGGAATTTATCACAGGGATGACAATGTAACAGTCAAGCTGAGAAGGCAAATTGAATGAAATGTAGGTAGTCTGTTGTTCCCGAAAAGGGTTAATTCAGCCCTTGGAATTCTCTTTAACCTGTACATACCTTTGACTTATTTCTGTTATCATTATTCAATGAAGTTAATAACTTGTGCTGTTGCAATGAACTGAAAATGATGGCTTTCTATCTACTTTTGGTGGAATTCAATGTTTCTGGCTCATTAGCCAATTACATCCCATTGGAGGAATTCCTAGTCTCTCTCTCCTCTTCTATATGTACAGTTCTCTTCCACATCTAATCTCTTCTCTGGATGAACAGTTCTCATACATAATCCAAATTCGTCTTTGCTCTGCCACTTTTAAGTGAAACGTGTAAGGCCATTGATACCAATGTAAAAATCCAAACACAAAGAACCCCTTACTAACATCTGGTATTTTCCATTTTTGCGGTCAATAATTGATTGGATTCATGTTATAACTTGTTTTCCATATTAAGATATTCATGTTATAACTTGAACAAATCCCGGTTTTATTGGGTTTTTGAGGAGATTTAAGGAAAGATACAGAGTGGTCCAGCTTGAAAAGAGAAAGGAAACTGATAGGAATCGTGTAGTATTTTGTTGTAAAGATAAAGACAACAGGGTACATATTTGTCTGCATGTATATTGCATGAAAAGGTTCTAACAATCCATCAATTTCAAGTGGGACCCTCACACCATGTTGCCTACTCTTACCATTTCTTCAAACTGAAAATCATTTTCCTGCCTTTTGTCCTTCACTCCACTTCCAATCTGACTGCCTTTGCTCTTTTGCTTAATCTTCAACGCATTTTTCTTTCTTGATTCTCTCTTGAAGAGATGAGTAGAGAAGGAATAGAAGAAGGAGGGCTTTCTTGTTCTTTGATAGTCAAGGAGAAGCCTCAGGATGGTGTTGGTGGTTGTTCTGGTGAAGGACAGGGTGAAACTAGGATTTCTTCTTCTGCAACAACCACGGTTGTTCTCAGCACCTTTGTTGCTGTCTGTGGATCTTATGTTTTTGGGACTGCTGTAAGTATATTCTTTTCACCAATAAGATGTTCTGATTTACCTTATAACATTCAAAGTAAATCCTGCTTGACAACTTAGACTAGAATTGAATCTGCAAATCTAGTATTCTAATTGACCTATGGTAATGTTGTCATTTCTCTTACAAAAAAAAAAAAGAACTAAAATCCCTGGATTGTTTTCTAGATTGGATATTCATCACCTGCTCAGACGGGAATCGTAGATGACCTTGGTCTTTCTGTAGCAGAGGTAAAGCATATATAGAACTGTTTCATTCGTGGCAGTTGCTCTTTAAGTTTGCAGGTGAAAACAGCATCATTTTTTCAGTATTTATGGCCTTAAAATTTTGTTTCCTCTTGCCCGGTGCCAACATCTGGTACCAAGCAGCAGGATCATGTTTGGTCAAATGTACATGATGCCATGAATCATCAGCTGGCATGTTTTTTTCATGGATTTTGTACTTATTTCAACCGAATGACCTAGCATAATCCAGATTTATCCTGAGAACTATGTGAATTGGACATTAGAGCAAATTCTTTTTTCCAATGAAAACTTGATATGCAATAGAATTAATCTGAACATGGCATCCATCAAACTGATTCCTATTTATCTCAGACATTTCTGTGTGATTTTTCTCTTTCCCTGCTTTGATCATTGCAGTATTCTCTTTTTGGTTCAATATTGACAATTGGAGCAATGATAGGTGCAGTGATGAGCGGGAGAATAGCAGATTACATTGGTCGAAAATGTGTAAGGTTTTCAGGAACCTTTACTTTCTCCATATGTTTACTTCTAACAATCTCAAATAGGTTTCATATCTTTGACTTCCCTCAATGTTGGTTAATCTTTCGAGGCAGACAATGGGTTTCTCTGAGGTATTCTGCATGGTAGGATGGCTTGCGATACTATTCTCAAAGGTGTTGATGATATTGGGATTCTAGCAGCATAAAATTTTTTCCTTCCGCATTGTTGCTAACATTCTTTTAAGACAAAACAATAGTGCTAAACATCATCTGCTTGTCCAAAAGGCTGCTTGGTGGCTTGACCTAGGACGGCTGCTGGTTGGATATGGGATGGGCCTCCTTTCATTCGTGGTAAGTTTTTGAACAGATTGCAATTATATGTACTTGACCAGCCATTCACATGTTTGAAGGAAAACTATATATTTGTTCTTACTCTAAATTGTATGCTGGTCAACATGGGTGCATACACCCCGTTTGTACTCTTGTGTAGCAGCTTTGCTACTACATTCCTGCCTTGAGCAGTTTATTAATAAATCCATTTTACTTGGCTGAGCAAAAAAAAAAAAAATTTGCTCTTATTCACTCTAGGTTCCCGTGTATATTGCTGAAGTTACACCTAAGAACATTCGAGGAGGATTTACATCAGTCCATCAGGTAAAATACTGAAGCATCAGGAGTTGAATTCAATATGTTCTTTGTGCTTTGATGTATCTAATGGCAATAGATTCTGCAGCTGATGATCTGTTGTGGTGTGTCAATAACGTATCTCATAGGTGCTTTTGCCTCCTGGCGGACTTTGGCTCTGATCGGTAATTGTCAGATTTTTTGTGGTTTTACATTGTATATAAAAAGGATTCTCTAACAGCGCCTCCCTACGATCTGATTTCAGGAACAATTCCATGTCTTATGCAGCTTCTGGGCCTATTCTTCATCCCTGAGTCGCCTAGATGGCTGGTAAACTTCTGTACTTTAGGACATGCTTAATTTGGTACTCATATTAGAGAATTCTGTGGTATTTATTTGGTCAGGTGACACATTTTGAATGACCCGTTGACACATCATTAAATTTTTTTAACTGAATTAGACTTTGAGGTACATTGATACATGGAATAAAAGTTTAGTATCACGTTAAACATTTTTTTTAGTATAAGTATATATTAGACATTTTTCTAAAATACAAGACTAAGTGACCTTATTGCTTAGGAACGATTATAAAACTCAGAAATATTTTGTGCATTCTATTAAATGATTACATTTCTTCTGGATGATGCCTCAAAAGTAAATCCAAGCATCCATTAACACTGAAGTAGTGAATACAACTATCTTGCAGGCAAAGGTAGGCAAATGGAAAGAGTGTGAAGCTGCCCTGCAGCGCTTAAGGGGGGACAATGCAGATATTTCTGATGAAGCAAGTGAGATTAGAGTAAGTCATTAACTTTTAGATGCATGCAAGTTTCAGTTTCAGTTCTTTGGATTTTCAGAACCTCCACAGCTCTGCCCCATACCTGAATGTTTTGACTTGAAACAAGAAAGAAACGGTTTGTTTTTGCAGGACTACACAGAACAACTTCAACAGCTTTCTGAAGCTGGCATTTTTGACTTGTTCCAGAGGAAATATGCTTGGTCTCTCATGGTAAGAATGGAAAGTCAATCCTGGGTGTGCCATTGTTCCTTGTCATGAATTGTTCTTTTAATGTATAACTGAACTGGTTAAGGTTGGAGTTGGCCTGATGGTTCTTCAACAATTTGGAGGAGTCAATGGAATTGCATTTTATGCTAGTGCTATTTTTATATCAGCTGGTATGTGAAATCACTTATGCTACAAAACAATTTAGAAGAGAAAAAGAGGAAGTCAATAGATGACAAACACTTCATCTTTAATCCTTTTATGACAGGATTCTCTGGTAGTGTTGGAATGATAGCAATGGTTGTTGTTCAGGTCAGTGACTTGGATTATGAATCAGTGTTTAAATTTTGATTAATGATTTTCTTGATGATTTTGAAATAATCTTCTACAGATTCCAATGACAGCATTGGGAGTACTCTTGTTGGATAAATCTGGAAGAAGGCCACTTTTATTGGTAGGAAAGCCTGGAGAAACTCTTCAAAAAATTTTGATCTATTTGGATGTAGAAATGCTCCTTCCTGCTGAAATCTATTAATTTCTACAGGTATCTGCAGCTGGAACATGTTTGGGTTGCTTCCTGGTTGGGTTGTCATTTTTCTTGCAGGTTCAAAGAAGAAACTTACTGATCTCAAATTTCAAAATGTTTTTTGTGTTATATATCCTTTCTTGAAAATATCAAGCTCATCACATGCAGGACCTTCAACAATGGAAGCAGGGCACTCCTATTTTATCACTTGTTGGTGTACTGGTAAAGCCAAATCAGTTTGTTAGGCACTTGCTCTTTTCATTTTGACATATATGGAATTACCTCAAACTTCAGCCCCATCACCTTCCACCATGCCCTTCTTAGCTGCTCTTTTTCAAGTTTTCTTTTCATGTGTGAGATAATCTCTGTTGATATGTGTGTCTCGACAAAAATGTAGGTGTACACAGGATCATTTTCGTTAGGTATGGGAGGAATACCTTGGGTTATAATGTCTGAGGTAGGCTTGCCCTGCTTGTGTGAAACTCTGCAGCCTTCAATATCTATATGAATTGGTTTCCAAACATGAAAGAAAGAAAAGAACTTTAAGCTTTACTAAAAAGAAGAAATCCTATTTCAGATATTTCCCATAAACATGAAGGGTTCAGCTGGAGGCCTCGTGACATTGGTTAGCTGGTTAGGTTCTTGGATTATTTCCTTTGCATTTAACTTCCTCTTGAAATGGAGCTCAACAGGTAAAAAGGGTTACATCTGATTTTGTCCCTTTCTTCAATACAACAAATCCTGTCATATTGTTAACCTTTTCCTTGTTGTACCGTCTTCCTTCCTCCTTCCAGGAACATTCTTCATATTTGCTAGCATATGTGGATTAACTGTTCTGTTTGTGGCAAAGCTGGTACCAGAGACCAAGGGACGCACACTAGAAGAAATACAAGCATCAATGAATCCAGTTTCCTTGGAAAGATAACTATGGCTTCTCCATTATATCATTTATCAATCTGTCACTGAGAAATTCATGTACAATTCAAAAGTTCCAAAATCAATGCCTGACCAGAAACTTATGCTACCAATGCCATGTTTGAATTCATGAACTGATGGTTACTTGCAGTCTTGCATAATGAATTATCTCAGTGAAGATTTTATGCCATATTTTGGTTGGGTACAAGGAAAAATGGCATTATTGGAATTCGGAAATGTAGTTTCTCATTAAGAATTTGATGAATGCCAAGACAAAAGTAGGATAACTGAAAAATTATTGGACCTAAATAGGATGGAGGCCCACGGCATAATAGAAGATAATCTTAAAGGGAAATTAAGAATCCCATGGTTGAAAGGGTCCATGGTCATAACACTTATTTGTTGAAACGCTTGATTTTTTGGTATGTAACAACCCGGTCCTGGATTTTTTTCCATTTTTATGCTGTGTTTGTTTCCCAAGAAAGGTATGTATTAATGTATAACAGGGAAGGACATTTGAGGTAGTCCTCCGTTTAGCAGCAGAGAAAATTTTTATAAACAAATCCAGGTTTGTTGTGACAGTTTAATTTATAGTGCAGCAAACTGAACGCTGATACTGACAGAGAATGGTGGCCACCAAGCATGAAAAGATTGTTATTGAGCCATTTACTCTTCTAAGACATAATTCAGGACGCAGAAACAACAGGAAAAATAAAGGAAAATGTGTGAGTCATGTTTCAGAATGTTGGAAGCCTTTTAAGCTTGACATATCTCCATCAACATATTTCTATTGATGCGAACATGCACTGATGAGTTGTTTTCCAGTTCACCTGATTATTGGATCTGATTCTTCTCCTTTAGCAGTCTTTATGGTTTCCAGTTGAAAACCAAGGGAATAGAGTCCTATTCCTTCCTGTTCATGAAAATGGGGGAATAAAGTTAGATCTTTTGTGTCGCCACAATCCTTGGTGATAATTAACTCAGAATCAATAACTTGTTGGCCACGGTTGAACAGACATGGAAGAATAATTGCAGATATGATCAAGAAACTATCAAGGAAAGTAACTTATGATCATCTGGAATTATCAAGCTAGATGTTGGTTTTCTATTGCCAGGAGGGTACTTTTATCAAATTTCATGCTTGGTATGAATCGTTGAGTAGCCTACTAAATGACTCCTTTCTGTTGACTGGAAACAGAAATACATTTAACGGGCAAATACTGAGACATGGGAAGGTTTCTGTTCTTATCAAGTTACCATATATCTCACGAAACTTAGGATTCAGGGCTACTCTCCCTTGTAGGGTTCTTCTAGCTGTTTGTCTTGGCATCCCACCCCTCCTCCTCAAGAAAAGAAAAAGAACTTATTTCAAAGGTGAAACAGTATTTTGTTCTCCTTGTTAACTGGTGTTCAGAATTAATCTTGCGGGGAATAAAGCTAGTAAACTTGAGTGATATCAAGGAACCGAAAGGGGTCTGTCACACCTCTCTTCTGTTAAACCAAAGTAACTAGTACTCTCCAACACGAAAATTCAGCAACACAAACAATACCTTGCTTTCCAGTTTGATTCTCTCAAGCAGTATGAAGTTGGAAATTGGAATAAGCACATGCAGTTGATGATGTTGCTTATGGCAAATGAATTAGGTCACTAGAAAGAATCCTCACGCTTTATTTCTTATGCCCAACCAAACTCTTTCACAGGCCTAATTCCCTTTATAAATAAAACCCACCTCCCATTATATCATATAACACAAAAACAAGCAAATTAACTACAAAAGCTCTCTCCATGGTATTTCCCAAAGCTAATCTTCCACAATCTGCCCACAAGGCCCTGCCAGGCTCGGCCAACCTAGCAAACCTCCTTCCAACAGGCACCGTCTTCGCCTTCCAAGCCATTATACCTTCCTTCTCCAACAATGGAAGATGCGAAGCGGCTCACAAGTACATGACCTTGGGTGCCATCATACTGTGTTCGCTTGCTTGCTTCTTATCTTCCTTCACTGACAGCTTCTTGGGCGAAGATGGCAAGCTTTACTACGGTATTGCCACTTACAAAGGACTTTACATATTCAACGATGATAACGATGATGCTCTCGACTTGGAGAAAAACAAGGAAGCCAAGGAAATGCTGAAGAAGTACAGACTCACTGCCATAGACTTCGTTCATGCCTGTTGCTCCTTGACTTTGTTCTTAGTCATTGCATGCAGCAGCTTCGACGTTCAACGTTGTTACTTTCCTAAACCGGGGCCTAACGGTGATGCACTGATGGCAAACTTGCCATTAGCAGCTGGGATTTTGGCTAGTGGGTTGTTCATGCTTTTCCCAACCAAACGAAGAGGGATTGGGTACGCTGACAGGCTTGAATCTGATCATGGCGATAGAAAGGAAGAGAAAGAGTCCCTGAAGAAAGGTGACATGGAGCCACTACCTCGCAGCAAAACTACACCTAACTAATTGATATATTATTCATACATAAAGGTTGCTTGGGTTTGATCAGCTCAGATAATTCAGTAAGAATCGATGGAGAATAAGTTGGACTTAATTGCCCAATGTTCTCTTCTCCTCCCGTGTGAATTGTAATTAATTGTGAACAAATTCTGATGAAAAGCAATGCTATTTCATAGCTAGGGTTTGAAGGGAAATGATTAAAAGATTAGTTTGGTACTTTCATGAATTGGAAAAGGAAAACTCCATTGATTCATAAAATGTTTTATATTTAAAATAAATTTTTTATTTTTTAAAAAATACAATATTTAAAAATACTTTTCAAAAATATTTTACGTCAAAATAAAAAAACCTTAAACAATTAAAATTAGTAAATTCGAATTTGGTTAAGTTCGAACTTATCAAGCTTCCCTTTTTTTAAAGTCAAGTCTAAGTCTAAGTCTAATTCATCTTATTCATTAACTATTATTTTTAAATATATTATAAAGTTGATATTAAATAAATTTATTAATCAGATAAATTAAATAGGTCGATAAAGCTCAAACATAAAAACTTATATCTAAGCTGACTCGTAACAAGTTGGGCTCATGAGTCTAAATAGGTTGCTGGACGCATTCGAGTTTAAGTAAAATACTCAACACGTGGACACTTCTAATCTATTATATGCAATCAAATTAGAATAACTTTCATCCATAATGGAAAAAAAAGAGAATTTTTTTTCTTAAGTGGGTCTCAAATTAGGATGCTAATTGGAGAATTGAGCTTGTTGCCGAACGTGAATCACGTTCTCACTCACAAAGAATGTTTTGCTGCCCACCATTATCAATAGATAATATCCAATAATTATTAGAATAATAATTTTTTATAAGTATATATTTGTCGTCACATGTTTTTTTATATGAATACTTGTGTTTTATTTGTTTTTAAATAATCATACATAAACATAAATATTAAATTTTTTAAAATTTATCATAAAAATTTAGATATTTTCATCTCATTTAATGATCACGATTTCTTCTTAATTTTAATTCCAATCTTATCTTATATTATTACGTATAATTATAAACATATTTATTTATCTTTTGATTAGTCAATTAAAAAATTTTTAATTTCAGTTTTTTTAATATATATTACAAAGAAGGTAAGCAATAAACTAGTATTGTATTTTATATTTGGATCATCAGGCCATTAACTAGAACAAATTAAAGAGTGGGAATTAATTTTCTTCCAAACCCAACAAAATTTGATTAATTATGGCCAAATTGAGGACAAAAAAGAAAAATTGCATGGTGTTTTCCATAATTCTTTCTCTTTTATATATAGATATATATATTATAATTAGTTGAAAAATGAGAGAGAAAAACCACTCAAATGTCTCTGAAATAAAGGGTTTTTACATTTTCCCTTGGCCTCACAGTGAGATTAGGGAATCAAAAATATGTGTCTTATTAGTTGAAAATTAGATCAATAAATTTTAAAGTTAGTCTACAAAGAAATAGTCCTTCATCCCCTCTTACTCTTTCAATATTTTTCCTCTTCAAGAATATGGGAATTAACTCTTAAATCCCATAATATAACCACCCAAACCTAAATATAACAAATTCTTTTTTTTTTGTATAATATTCTTTATGACACTTTTCTAAGTGGAAAAGAATATATACATACTATAGTAGTTTTTTGGTTTGATATAATATTTTTAAAAAATTCTTAAACTATTTAGAAAATTTTAAATAATATTCTTTTATTATATTTAATTAAGTCATATTTTTATTTTGAGTCAAAATAAAATTTTATAACTAATAATTAACTTAGTTTAAATATTATTTATCATTTTATATCACGTGACATTGATGTGATATTATGACATACCATAATAAATAATGATATAGCAAAATAACATGGTCATGTAATATATTTTACCTTTTACATCAATGTCATGTGAATGTAAAATGATAAGTAATAATTTGATTAATTGTAATTAGTCATAAGAGTTATTATTTAAAATAAAATATAAGATTTGATTGAACGTAATAGAAGAATAAAATCTTATTTGTAAATTTTTAAATAGTTCTAGAATTTATTCAAGAATTATGTCAATTTGTTTTTATTTGAAATGGAATTGATGAGAGATAAGAGGATATGTCAGTATATAGCAAACTAAATTTGAATTTGATAGCCATCACTAAACTTTTTCCTAACATGCATGAAAAAGACTTTATTGTGACCTATATATCTAAAAATTTAATTTTTGATACTCAAAATAAATACTACGAAAAGAGAAATTTTGTATTCTGAATAATAAATATCATAAGAAAATCAATGATATATATAATTTTTAATAATTTTAAAAAATTAAATTGATAATATCATAATCGTAGCAAAATTAACTTAATTTATAATCCATACAATTTCAATAATTATATTATCAGACAAAAATGGAAGATATAGAAAGGGACTTGGAAAAGGAGAGAGAGCCAAATAATTGTCTAAGTGTATTTGCTTTTCCCATGTGCGTGCCTAGTTACCGTCCACGTGGTCAACATCTCCCTCTAAGATAAGGTGTGGGTGCTGCTCTGCTCTCTCCTGTTACTGAAGATGAAAGAGTGTACCTCCCCTTGACCAAAACTTTGTTGCATGTAGAAGAAGAAGAAGAACAAGTAAGAATTGAACACCAACATCAATTAATTAATTCATCCATGGCTTCCACATACCATATACCACCACTGGTTTTATCAGTTGATGGACACCATTCAAGCTGATCATTAATTCATCATCTTCAAAGCACACTTTCATGGAAACTTGGCATTGGGTTGTTTGAGTCAACTTGCCTTTCTATGAAAGCATTGGATTAAGACAACCTGATAAATTAATTACGATATGATTTACACATATATATAGTTCATAACTTTAGGTATTATTATTTGTTTAAAAATGTTAATCGAAATAGTTATTTTTTTCTCGAATTTGCATATTCAAGGAATATCCATAACCCAATGCACAAAAATCCAATCAGCTTGACCCTACCTGAAAAAAAAAATTGCCAAAGGTTTGGGGGACAAATTTGTTAGTATCTCAGTTTTTCCACAAGGCCTTGGGTCAATTTCCAGAAAACTTGGTCACTAGTGCCAAAAATATCATGAAGCTAAGAACAAATGATTGTTCTAATTATTATTAAACATGATAGAGGACTGCCCTTCAAAATGACAGGTTCTTAGAGCCCAAAATATCATTGTCAATGGAAAACTTTTTCTTGCTTTTGGGTATGCATTACATGTAAAGAGGATGTCCACAAAGTTTTTTTTTTCTTGAAAAAAAACAGAAATATTATTTATATTATTAAATTAATATATATTATTTATAAATCAACAGTATATAGAAAATAATATAATTATAATGTTAAAGAAGATTTTTATGTGCACTAGAGCACAAGATATTATGATAAGAATATATAGCAAATTCAATATGCATGCATTTTCCTTGTTCAATTTATTTTCAATGTACCATTTTCTCTTTTTTTTTCCTTCAATGGAAAAATTATAATATTAAGCTGGAATCATCTTGGAAACCATTTTTTCATTTTTTTTTGTATAAAAAATTATTATCCATACATTCAATAATATATATATATAGGAAATTAAATTTCATTTTCAACATACACCAATTAATAATCAAAATTAACTAAAATATGCCTTGAAATTATCCCAATATTTCTTTTATTTTTGTTTTTATGTTTTCTTTCATAAACGGAAAAGAGTTAGGTATTTCAATCAAGTTATAAAATGTCAGTAAACTGTTGACAGTATAGCTCTTTTGTTAATTAGTTAAATCAAAGATAAAAGGATTAGAATTCATCAAAACCTCATCCCCTAAATAAGGAAGGCCCTAAACTTTGAGGATAAGTAGTTATTTTTTCTCCCTTCTGTCTTTACATAGTAAATTGCATAAACTCTTTCTTTGGTTTACAACTCACCTATACTTTTTCTCTAAAAAAAGTGTAAATATTTAATTGATTCGATCTTAAAATTTAAAAAATCTGAATTATCCAAATATTTATAAAAAATAACCGATATCCATCAAAGATAATAATAAAAAACCATAAATAATCCAAATTAATTAATCTCGATCAATTTCGACAACTTTATTTCGGTTTTAAATACAAAAAATAAAACCAACTTGAATTAATCGATTTCAATCTACTTATCCATTAATATATATTCAGTTTTTTTAACTAAGAAATTACTAGCTACCACATATTTTTTGCCTGCCAAGGGCCTCATTCCATTAATTGCAAATGCCAAATTCCAACCTAACCCTTTTTTTTCTTTAGATAAACATATAAAAGTTAAAATCTTTTATTTAAAAAAAAGAAAAACTTAAGAAAAGGATATATATATATATATATATATATGTAAAACTCAAGAAAATGTATAGAGTGGAAGAAATTAATCGAGAAAAGGCCAAAAAGAAAGAAAAGGAAACATGGGTCAGATCTTAAGCGAAGGGTAAGGTCACGATTCGTGGGACCCGGCACCGTTTGCTCTATCACTACAGCTCACATTTCACGTTGGCACTATCTTCACCATACCACATACCTTCCCTCCCCTTTCCTTCTCTTTCCCTATCTTTGGCGTGAGGATATTATTAATACCCACATCTCCTTTCTCTTCTCTTTAGTTTCTTCATCATCAAAGAACTCTAACCCAATCCCCTCCATGACCCTTCTCTTCCTCTCTCTTTTTCCTTGTTCATCTACACCTCTCTCTTCCTTTTTGCATTGAAAATGATCATGCCTTATGACTATTCACGTTTCATGATGAAGGTCTTTTGTAGGAAGAGTGTTCATCATCACTTTGTTTTAGGTTTGTCGTCGTCGGGTGCTAATGTTTCTCCTCCTCCTCCTCCTTCTTCCAAATGTGGGTTAGGGTTGATAGCCAATGATACACCTAGGGTTCCGAATGTCATTGAGTCGTCGTCAGTCGTTAGGCCTGCGAGTGCACCAACGAAGAAGAAAGACCCTGGTGGGATAGGGTTTATAGATGACATCGGCGGGGGTGTTGATGGTCTCATGTCGTGTACGGAGAGTTTGGGGTTTGAGAGTTGTGATGAAAGAAGGGTCGATGATGATGATGATGATGATAATGGTGGTGATAAGAAGAAGAATTGTGATCAACGTGTGGAGGTTTGTGAAGGGAAGAGATCAGTGATGATGACGAGGGACGCATGGAGGAGGAGAAGGAAGAGTGAGGAGAAGAGGGAGAGGAAGAATAAGAAGTTTCCACCGCCACTTTCTTCTTTGAACCAAAATGGTCAGCCTTGTTTTTATCTGAAGCCTGTGAGGACAAATGGGAGGTTGGAGTTAACCGAGGTTAGGATAGAAAGGCCTGAGATTTTACGTGCTGTCAGGCAAAATGGTCGCTTGAGATTGCACCTTGTTAGCAGTGATGTTTGTTCTAGAATCAACGAAGTAGAAGAAGAAGAGACAGAGCAAGAAGAACAAGAACAAGAATTGCATTTGCAGGAAGAAGAAGAAGAAGAAGTAAAGTTACAAGAAGAAGAGGAAGAAGAAGAGAGGAAAGTTGAAGAATTATGGAAGTATAGAGTGAACGGGGAAGGTTTCAGGAGATGTCATGAGCCGGTTATGACCCATCATCACCATCATGACTATCACCATCATCCTCCTAATATCAATGACCATCATCATAGCTTGCATGTGTGGAGGCAGCCATGTGTGACAACAAGGTGAACGAAAGAACTTTTTCAATTTCACTCGGGGGATGTGAAAAAGAAGAGACAGGTTATGTTTCTGTGTGCTTCGTTTTGGGGAATATCAATGTTTCCGTAATTTGTTGGATTAACTAAGTTGAGCAGAGAGTGCAGAGGTAAAGGATGATGTGTCTCAAGGAAATTTGAAGGTGAAAGATGGGCAATCTCCAGGCGTCAGCAGATAGAAGAAAAAGAAAAAAGAACAAGGAAATGAGAAAATGAGTTCAAAATCTTAATTTGCCAAATTTAGAAATGTCAGTTGCTCCAAATTTTGACACTTTTTTCCCTTTTATCTTCGATTTTTCCAATAGAATTGTCAAATACCAAAAATACCCAAATTTTTTTATTTATTTTTTACTCATGGGGTACATTTTTCATGTGTACATATATTAACATAAGCTTGTTTGTGTGTACAGAGTTTGGGAAATAAAAATTGCAAAAGATGTATTACATGTCTATCCAGATTTTCCTTGCTTTTCTTTTGGTGGAAGGATTCTATGTTTCAGCCTTGTGGGGGACATTGGTCGGTTTGATTGGTCTGATAAGACCTTGGACATGCTTTGCTCAATGAGATTACATAAGCTTGACCTACTCTTTAAATAATGGATGTGATGAATCAGTCAACTTTATGATAAAAAGGAGTGGATAGCGACTCTTTGTGAAGTGACATTGAACAAGAAATGGGAAGGGTAAGGCCAGAAGCAATCATTGCTTAAAAGATACACAAAAGCGTAAAATTGGCATTCAAAGGCATATGAAAATTTCCATTCAAGAATCAGCCATAGAGGAAAAAAGCTGTGGTTTGATTCTCAAACTGAATTCAAAATGGTTAGATTCTTACACTGAATTACAAATGCTCAAGTCCTCTTGCTAATATCAAACATCTACAATGGACAGAGATATAAGGTAAGCATATAATCTCTGAATTTTCAGCATATCAGAAGAATTTCCTGCTCTCCTAAGACTTCAGTCCCAGTGCCATTGATAGATTTCTGAGAGCTTTCAAGACAAGCTTGCTACTCACTTTGCTTTGGAGACTTTTCTTCTGGCAAGTTGTACCAACAACATTCATGCAGCAATGTTAATTGAAAAACAGGATTCAACCATATATGACTTGTAAAAGATCATTATTTGAAAAACAAGATACAAAAAATAAAAGGATGCATCAAAACTCCACCATTTGAGACCGCGGCAACAAGTGAATAGCATGGTACTGAAAGAATGTCTTGAATCACATGTCCGACACAGACCAAAGATATGCTTCCCTTTCGGTAGCCCGTTTCTCATTTAATTTTGTGAACATTTTCTTCTCAAAACCTATAAGAAGCATAGTCGCAGATGATTAGCATTTTCAATCTAATACTAGACATACACATTTTTAACAAAATAAAACTTAATTTCGAATGAGAATGCACTTGAAGACCAAGAATATTTCAAACAGCAGAAATGAATTTACCATTACTACGATCAACTCCATCCCAGTGTCTTCCTGGTCTTATACCATATCGATTTGGTGCGGCATCTAACTTTCTTACAATCCAACTATGTGCAGGAGTGTCCTGAGGAATTATAAACCCTGATTCCTTCATCTTCTCAGCATCCCCTAGGTCTCTAAGAGCTGGCGCAGAATGCTTTTTCTGCAACATGTGAAAACAAATATGTCAACTCAGTGTCAAACTACCTGAAATCTCATTAACATCAAACGAGTAGTTAATTACCTTGACCAAATGTGCCATAGGATCACCCCATCTTATTCTATCCTTCAACATATTGTCAAGCTCAGGGTCATCCCTGTAAGTAGAAGTTGTAAATATAAAATTGTTATATGCAGCAAAACTAGTGAAAAAACATATCTCAATCAAGCAGAAGACATGAACATACAAATGCTCTAAATAGGCAGTTCAAGAAAGAAATCAATAACTTGCAATGTTCTACCCATGAAAGTGGATAGTTCTTTTTAAACTCTCCCTGCTTGTTCCCCAACTTAATTCATATTTCCGGTCTAAGAGGCAAAAAATTAATTCTCTTTGTCCTCTGGCTTCTTTTCATCCGATATATCCCTTAATCATAACAATTGCACCTTGTATATAGAACCAAAAGAAAAAACTCCATGACCTTTCCCAACTGTACACTATTTAAGAAACAACAGAGGAAAGAAGGCACCCTAAAATCCCAAATAGCAACAACATTGATAGTGATAGTGATAAAAAAACCAGTCTCTTGCATGCCAAAAAATTGCAGCACCACATAATTATCCCGTGTAACGCAATATCAGGACTCCCCTGTGAGGCACTGTGCTTATGTTACAGAATCATTTCCCCCTCAAGCATAGGAGATATACAACAGCAAATTATTAAAAGTTTATATCAATGAAGAAGGCTCAAATGGGGAAATATACAATGCTATCTACCACTCATTTCCTAGCATGAAATCTCAATTCAAGCCAAAGAACTACAACTCAAAACATTGTTTAGTATCAGTTATTTTACCTGGTTCGAGCAAATGGCTTATCCTTCTCGCGTTCTAATTCTTGCAACCTAGCTTCAGCTTCCCGCTTTTGGGCTAAGCCTTTGCCCCACTCCAATTGTTTCTCCTGATAAAGTACATAATAGCTGACTATTAATTCTAGCCATCTGAGAATAAAGTAAATAATGAAGTTCATGTTATTGTGGATATGCAGCATTACAATTGGCTACAACAATCATGATGAAGAAAAAGAAAGGTAATTATGAACTCTACGGGTAACTTTTCTGCATTATACCTTGGGCTTATCTTCCCCTTTCCGTTTTGACTTCAGGTACTCTTCCTTTGATATGCGCTCCCCTGCACACATTGACAAAGGGATGGAGTCAGACAGATGAAAGCATACATGTGTTTTCAACATATGTATCACTTAAAATGCCTTTTCCTTTACCTTTTGTCTTATCACGATATACAGGTTCAGCTCCTCGTCCACTTATAGATGGATCCATCTCCTTAAACCTGAAAAACACAAATTACGTCAGAAAACCAGAGGCTAAAGAAATTAAACACAATGCAAAAAACAAACCGACTAAAAGGATCACTAATGATTAAAAGTCACGTTGACTTTCATCTGGCTAGTAAACAACTCTCCTTAGTTTGCAAGCAATACTATATTACACCCCTATTTCGGTTCATCACCAGAGGTATTTCACCGTTCTTATCTTGGAATAACCCATAAGTCCCCTAAAACAGGTTATTAAAGGAGCACTGCAACACATCAATGATGTCGGTCAGGCCTCAATGCGACATGTAATAATTACTATCAACGAAAAGAAGCAGCAGCTTCTGCAGTTTGCTCTAAAAACAAAATTGGCTAAAGTCTGCAATTGAACTCAAGGCCGGTCATGCATTAGTGAGCACCTATATAACATACCCCATTTGTATGAACATTTCAATGATGGAAAATGTAGCATACCAACAGAGAGAATTTCAGAAAAATGAATTATATCTAGATACATAAACAGAATATGTACCTTAACCAGTCATCCTTCTTGGTTTTAGAAATTTCTTCCCGGATTTCACTGCCAGAAATTAATCCAGTTTTTGGTTGCTCCTTTAAGGAAGCTGGACCAGTTGATTCCTTCCTATGTTTCCTTGGAGGGGAGAGATCAGAATCATTAACAACCTCAGATGTTTGAGGACGAGATCGTCTCGGTGGGGACATATCCGGCTCAGGTGATGGTGTATGGTGGCGTCTCGACCTTTTCCGTAGAGGCGACAGATCAGTATCTTTTCTCGATGGCTTCATTCTTCGTTCTGGTGAAGGTGTGTCATTTCTAGCCCTCCGTTTCCGAGGCAGTGACAAATCAGTATCTGGTCGGTTCAGTACAGGTTCTGGTGACGGTGTGTCATTCCGAACCCTCCGTTTCCTCGGCGTAGATAAGTCAATACCTTCTTTTGCAGCCTTAACTCGAGGTTCTGGTGAGTCAGTCTGAGCTGGCCTCCTACGAGGAGGTGATAAATCAGTATCTTCTCTTGCTGATGGTGTGTCATTCCGAACCCTACTTCTCCTTGGTGGTGATAAATCAGATTTCAAACCAGGGGAAAGTGGTTGTCTCGGAGGTGATAAATCTTCAACTTCTCTTTCAGAGTTTGAACGCCTCAGCCCAGGTTCTGGAGACAGTGTGTCATTTCGAGCCCTCTGCCTACGAGGAGGGGAACTATCAGAATTAGGATCCAAAGCATTGGTGCGCTTAGGAGAAAGTGAAACCCAACCACTACCATCCTCAGCAATTGAGTTTAACCCCCTCGTCAACCTAATCTGCTCCAGCTTTTTCATTCTTTTTACTTCTATATCTTCATCCACCAATGGCCTCTCATCTAGAAAAAAATGAAAGTACACAACCAATAACTAATAATCATTAATTCAAAACCCAAAGAGAAACAAAGAGAAAAAAAATTTTAAACTAACCGGGTGAATCATTGCCATCATTGTCTTCTTCGAGGTTAACAGGTTTTTGCCAGACTGGATCTTCATCAACAACGAAAACGCCTGAGGACTCCGGTTGGGCTTTAGCCTTCTTCTTCTTCCTTTTCTTCTTCTGTTCCTCTTCTTCGTTTTTTGACTCGTATCGTTTTAGATATTCCTTCAGTGAACTAGAAGTTGCCATTGGCTTCCCTGCCCAAATTCAGTACAATTATTCCTACTACAGAAATTATGCTATAGTTTCGAGCATTCTTCATTGAGGCAAAAGATCAAACACTTATAAATTTCAAAACTTTGGGGAAAATATACAGCAAAGAAACAAGGCCAAAGTAAACTAATTTAAACTCGAAAGGAATTAATGTGCGGACCAAATGAAATTCAAATAAACTTTTACAAAATTTGAAACTGTTTTCGATTAATAGAAATCAACAAAAAATACAAAATAGGGATTGTTCGAGAGAAAGAGAGTACCAAAGCTGTAAGGGTTTTGGGATTTGAAGAGCCGACAAATCCCTCAGTTCTCTGTTATCTCGTTTGCTTCCACCTGGAAAATCCAAATTTCTCAGGAACCAAACAAGGAAGAGCAAATTGAACGAAGAGAGAGCGATTCGGCAGAAGAGGCGGTGGCAGCGCGCGTTTGATCAACTTTGCCTGTAAGAATTCTTTTAATTTTTATTAATTTTTTTGCGAATTGTTTTTTCATTTTTGTAAACTTTTTTCAAGGAGAACCGTCTAAAGGAGGATTCTTTTTAAAAAAATTATTTATTTTTCTTTTGAAATATAATTTTTTAAATGTTTATTTATTTTATAAAATGTAACAAAGATAATATAAACTTAAGTGCATGGTATCATATTCGCAACAAATCAAACGATTATTTTTTATAATCAAGATATAATAAAATTTTATTAATATGATATTATACTATATGTATTGATCATCATATAATTTTAATAATTAGGATCAAATATATCATTTTAAAGTTTTAATTTAAATTTTAAATTTTTATTGAATACGTAAATCCTGTAAATGAATCATTAATATTTTTATTAATGTGATAATATAATAATATTAAAAAATAATTTTATTTTTATTGATTTTAAAAATTATTATTATATAATTTTTATTTTTAAAAAAAAATAAAAAATCCTAATAGTTATTTTTTAAAATTATATAATAATAGTTTTTAAATTAAAAAATTATTTTAATTTTTTTTATTAATGATACTTATACATTAAAGTAGAATGTTTATTTTAAAAATTAATAAATTTATTTAAAATTTGGACGAGAGGGATAATTTACCTAATAATTATTACTTAACAAACCTTTAATATATTCATTAAAGAGGTCAAAAATGTATTCTGAATTAATTTGAGCACTTAAATTTTTGCAAATGTAGCGTCCTCTCGAGGAGTTAACAACCTATACATGGGTGAGGAAGAACAAACAGAGCGAAACTTTACAGATCACTCTTCTAGCTTTGTAAGCTTGTACACGAATTAAACTGCAAAATCCAACGCCCCAAATTTGGCCGTTGGCTGTTGGCTGTTGTTGATGATGTAGCTAGTCAGGCTTGGTGTACTCCAGCAGCATATGGGGAGATCTATAGATACTGACAAGTGTCCAATAGAGGACCTCTTCCACCTCAAGCTCACCCTCAGCTCTTGCTGCATATATATCCTCACAGATTGCCAGCAACCTGAGTGAACCAACACAAATATGTCAGCTTGTTTCAACTTCAATGTTGGAACAGAATTAAAAGCCCCAGGGTTTTTGTCAGTGTCAAGCTTCAGCTGCATTGTTTGTGTTTCAGACATGAACTTGCATGTATTACCTGTCACAAGAGGGGAGGTTCTCAAATTGTATTCTCATTCTCAGGTCAGAGCATTGTAGCCTGATGAAACGGCCAACAGCTAACACAAAGGTTATGTACAGACCCCATATGCTGAATTTGCTTAGTGTATCCCCGATGATTCCCTCTGAACAAACAAAGATCCGTAGAAGGGGAATCAATTGAAGTAAAAAAGAGAAAAGATAGTGCAACGTTATGATCACTCCCTTGGAACTTACGTGGTGTTTCTTCAGATACAATGATGGCCATTGGTCCTGCAAACTCACCACATCCTGTTCCATCCGAGGCACCAAGATCATAAAAGGACCACCATTCTGGATTCCCACGGTTGAGAACCAGATCCCCACTTATCAGATCTACCTGTAAAATGTACTTTGTTTAACGTTGTCTCCAGACAGATAGCATAGCAGATGAATCTAACTGACAAAATTTGCAAAACAAGGTATTGAAAATGGCATACCGCCTGTTCGAGAAACCGAACATCACCAGAGCCAGTAACCCGGAAGTATCTTGGATAGATGTTAAACATCCTAAAACTATTGGCAGTACCATTAAGAACTTGCATCACTTCTGCTGATTGAGGAAGATCCTGATCTGCAACAAGCACTTCATGTTTCACGACCTCCTTCCCTCTAGGTCTATCTCTTGTGAATTGCCAAGAGAAAACAATGTCCATGCTCCACCCTAGAGATTTGATGTATCTGGCCTGCACCACCGGGGGAACAAGCCACAGGTTGCTTGCATCAGGTTGGCAGCATATGAGTTGAATGTCCACTTCATTGTAATTATCTAAGTAACCTTGAGGATCAAGATCAATATGTTGTTTTACTTCATTCCATGAGATCTTTTCGCACAAAGTGGTCTCAAACAAGGTAAGCCTTCCACTACTTGTCTTTATGTCAATCCGAACACTGGCTTCTCTAATGGGGTTTGCAATATTTGTAGGGTTACCGCTACTGTACATCTGTCAAAACACAACCCCCGCCCCCCAACACTGTATAGATCAGTGGTTGATGCTGGGGAGTTTTCCCAGGAAATCTAGAATTTGCTACAGAACTTCAAAAGCTAGAATTGACTTTGAGGATTCTTACCAGCATAGGGGCCCATATCACACATATCAGTATGAAGAACAAGCATATGCCATTGCAAAACTTGGTCATTTTTGTCTGCTTTTGTCCTTGTTGGTGTTTAGCTCTATTTAGATCCGCATCACATTTGACAAGAAACAAGCTTCCATGGATATCCTCCAACTAGAGAGAAAGTAAATATTAGATCCAAAAGTAATCAAGCTTACAAGTTTTGTGAAGGAAAAACAGCTGGATTTCAGGAAAAGGAACTTGTAAGTATGAGTGTGCTTCATGTCTGTAGCAGAAAGTTGCTAGGTGGTCTGGACTTACCTTCAACCAATCATACATGGTCAACGATGTGGTTGTGCAAGACCAATCAAGTACACATCGAAGTTCGTAAAGGAATGGCAAAGCACGATAAATTCGGAAACCCAAGAAGTTTGTTTGAGAAATGCTACTTGTTAAAAATTGCCTATACAAATTGCTTTCATGTGGAATCCCAAAGCGAATTTGTATGGCCTGCAGAGCCAGGGAGATCAACTTCATGAGGTAAATAGCACGGAGCGCAAACTTTCCAGCATGTTTGTCTGAAGGCTCCATGTGCCAAGCGTAGTTTGTGATAGAGTATGTGAAGAGGACAAGACTGAAAAGATAGAAGAAAACTTTCCCAGTGGCAAATGAACAGAGGTAAATGATGCGATCGAGCACGATCAAGAAAAAAATAACCTGCAATGGGGAAACAAATCTCTAACCTTTTAAATCATCAACTTACAGAAGCTTTAAGATGGAGAATTCTGGTATGATACAGAAGCTTGTTTCACATACAGACTAAAGGGAAAGAGGGGTGCATTCCCATATGTTAATATCAAATGTTCATACAGTTGATCAAACTAAGTGATACAAGCACCAGGAAAGAGTTCATTTTAAGCAATACATGATGTTTTCTGGATAGACAATTCTGTGTCATGTGATCATTTTTATAGTTTAGATTCACAGTTACAAGACCACAACAAAAGTACATAGAATGCTGCCATCATAGAATCCTAGACCTGATCCAGGAAATCAGATACATGGTGATAGCTCCCGCTTTTTTTATATGTACACATTCAACTGCCATGTAAAGTAGCGGGTCTTAACTGTAGAAAATGGCCTAAAAAGGAACTTCAATTATAAAATTCTGATGAATGTGTCAAGAGAAAGAGGAATACCATTAAGACAAAGACAAACTCCTTTGGGAATTGATCTTCATACTGATATACTTCAAGGAACTCACTGTTATTTTTTATAACTGATTGGTAGAAAATTGCCACCAAGAAGAAAACAACCAAATCTGCACAAAAGACATAGGCATACAAATCTACATCTTTCTTACCTCCACCAATTACGGAAAGTATCATGTAAGGGAACCCTATTTCTTTAAAGATACCAGCATGGTAAGCCGCTAGAATCTCACTGGTTACATCAGCTGCTGGAGTTAGCGACCTTTGCCATTGTGGAAAGGAAGATTTCCTTGAAGGGGAGGCATATAACACCTCAAAAACAGCCAGAGCTACATTTACATTTTCTGGACTTCGTTCAATGCTTTGAACTCGAACTCTACTTGCAGGATAATTGTTGAGGTTCTCCCTGCATCTTCTATCATGCATGATCTTCAGCAACTTGTTCATTTTTGATTCAATTGTCTCCGGTTGAATGCTATCCTCAGGTGGTAAGTTGACTCGCATAGATAGCTGCACAAAGTAAGGGGGAGTTTCTGCTCCCTGCGTCAGAGATTTCCAGTAACTGTAAAGGTTTCTAATCAACACTTCCATCACATTTCTTATGGGTAAAAGCAGTCCCTTTATTCTCTCAATGAAACCAAAATTGTATGCAGCCATTTCCTGGTAAGCATTTTTTTTTGTAAAGCTGAACTCTGTTGCTACCGTCCATTCACCATCGCTGGCAGTTATGGCAGACTGTAAGAGAGTAAACAAATACACTAAAAAAAGAGGGCAGTGGCAGATCACAAAAGATGACATGATCTTGTGTGCAGGAAATCCCAACTCCTGAAGCAGTCTGGCTTCAAAAATCATCCCGCAATGTTGGATAATGATTTGATATAAGTATTGAAGCAAAATGCACACCTCGGTGTAAATTAGCATAATAACCCAGAACATATTGCTTGGACCAGTGTTTACACAGAGAGCATATAAGAAGAGAGCCGCAAGATAAACCATAGAAAGCAAGCTAAAATTCCATAGGAAAATCAGAATAAAGCAACAGTAACAAACAACATCATTATTTGATCTCATTTGGTCCCAAATATAGTGGAGTATGATCCTGATTTGTAGGCACGCAACATTAGACATGTTCCTCTCACTATCAGATTGTATGGAATGTGATTGCTCAATATGTTCACTGCCAAAATCCTGATTCTCTATCTCATAATATACCTCATCATCTGAAGAATGCTCAGCTAAATCTGGTTTTCCATGTTCAATTTTCAGGAAGTTCACAAGATTCATGACTGCTATACTACCAAGAGATTGCACATGTGAAACCCCATCACCTATCAGTTGTACTGCTGATATTAGTGGATTTCTCTTGGATTTGGATATTTCCTGAGGTCTTACATCGGAATGGAAGAACATGTTATCATTAGTTGTGTCCTTCAGTTCAGTGATCTCAAAAAGTGAATCTATTGACTGCTTTCTGGAGTCCACTGCAGACAGAACTCCAGTTCTTTCACTTCTAGGAGATTCATTCATATCATGAGTAAATACAAAATCAAGGCTTAGAGTACGATCCTTTTTTTTGAAACCGGTATCCCTTTTGTCAGGGGTAGTCTGAGCTGGATTTAGATTTACAGAAGGGTTCCTTTTTCTGTTGTCTTTGCCTTCAGGAAAGGTGTTACCACAATTAGTGGTTCTCATGCTGTGAAGTTGGATCTGCAAGTTGAGCATCTCTGATTTGATCTTTTCCACTTGTGAATTACGCGTGCGCTTCTGCTCCTCAGATTTACGTATGTGTTGCAACTGTGCAGTCTTCCATGCAGCCCTCTTCTCCTGCTCACGCACTAAAGCACCAATCTGTTCGGCTTCAAGATAATTTGACACATAATCAAACTCCAAGGATGAAAACATGTATGACTGAAGTGCAACCAGCATAAATATTACAATCTCAACAAGTGCAAATCTGGATGGTATTTGAAATCCATATTTATACAAGCCAATCACTTTGCTAATGCGATCTACCATTTCGCATTTCCCCTCACAAAAATCACCCACAAGAGGAGACTGATATGCAAGAGAGAGGACAATTAGAGCAAAGTTGTAAATCCGCAAGAATTTGAAGATGCTATTCTTCTTCTTTAGTATCTGAAGCCTTATTCGGAAGAAAACTAGAGCAAATCCAAGGTATCCAAGGTGAAGAATATCATACTCTAGGGTTCCCGTGATCAAAATCAAAGCAAGCACAAGATCCAGTAAATGACAATAACTGTAAAGCCTCAGGTAGTCAAGAAATGTCCACAAGACTTTTGTTTCAAATGAGAGATCACTCAGACCAGATGCATGTTTAGAATGAGACATCATTTGCTTATATGTCTGAAACTCTGAGAGACTGGACAAGCGATCAGCACGAAGTTTGAGACAAGAAAACATGAAAACTGCATAGTAGCTGATAAGCATTTTGGGATCGTCTACTATGATTCCTGCAAAAAGTTTCACGAATGGTGGAGTCAAGATATGGAAACAAAAGCCATGGCAGTACACACAAACCCATGATGCTAAATAGTTTGATCATTGAAGGTAACAATGTATAAGATAACCATGGTTGACTCCTAACCATAAGCAGAAATTGCTTTATCTCATAGAAAAGAGTACTTTCTGCAAGTATGTAAACTCTAATTAGGCCTTTGAAGCAATGCAATTACTCATTTTATATATACAAGATAAATAACTATCCTCTCTTATGACGCTTGAAACAGAAATTAAAACCATCATCAACTTGCTTGTGTTGAGGTTTAAAGCAGTTTATATATAAATGAAGTAGCTTTGCCTACTAAACCACTATGCAGAGCATTTCATAGGAGAGATACCTAGCCAGCAACTTTTGCAGTAGTCAAAGTGAAGATCAGAGCTTCTCCAACAGTCATTGCAAAGCACTTCAGCCTTAGCCAGGGAAAGATGCTTCCAAGAAGTCAGATTCAACCAAATTGCCAAGTACTCAAGTGTGAAAACAGAAGCAAACAAGAAAACAAACATTGGCCATACTTTACGTATGACCTGCCGATTTAAAAGAACACAAGCAGCAAGTGATGCAATATAAAGCAAAGAAATAGCGTTCAGCACAGCAAAGCTGGCAAGAAGCAAGGCAATCATGTTAATCTCAAGGCCAAAGATACTAAACATATTCTCTATCCAGAACTTCAAATATATTTTCAGGCTAGCCTTCTGCATTGCCAGCCTCTCCTTTCTCAAGACATGAATTTGCCTTCTATTCCACTTATGGTTATCTTTGGAACTTTCCTGTAAGCACCTGTTTGATTGGTTTCTGCCTTTATGGCCTCCTATGGGATCCATACCTTGAGAAAAGCTAGTGTTAAGAGATGGCCATGAATGGCTTCTTGCTTTATACTTTTTGCCTAATAGTGGATTGGCATCTAAACCTTTTCTTTCTCCGGTAAAAATGGTGGCTTTGTTTGGGGCTATTTCTGATGACATAAACAAAGCACAAGGATCCTTCCACCATCCTCCATTTTCAAAGTTGCAGGGCATCTTTTCCAACCAATGAGAGACATTGTACTGCATAATACATGCAACAATAACCAGCACTTTTCCTCTCAAGCCCGATTCTACACCCAAGAAACCGGGTTTGTACACCTGCAAGCCCAGGAAAAGTGAAACAGAAGAGTGCTTTTGACCAGGGAACATCTCAGCCCTGTAACCCCACATCTGGAAAGGATACTCAAACATCACAAGCAATGCTGAGTAAACCAGAAAGAGCTTCGAAGGGATGTGAGAAGCTTTTGGTGTAATTGAACAAATGACTAATCCAAAAAGGTAGGAAAACCCAAATGCACTAATTGGAGACAAAGATGCATAAAATATGGCAAGATATAGTATCTTTTCACTGTGCCAGATTAGAAGACGCTTGAGAAAAGTAAAAGCTCCAGTTTCTGGCACATCATCCCTTAATTTGAAGTATTTGCTTTGCCTCCTCTCATAACTGTATAGTTGCATCACAATTAACACAGCTAAGGACTCCCAAATGTTTTTAAACATTGAAGCCTCTGGGTTATAACCAAAGGCAGAAGAAAGATCAACCATCCTGGACAACCTTTGCCGAAGCCAAGGGAACACACATAACCCATATATGAACAAAAACACTGCAACAGCATAAATTTTCAGGGGTAGCCACAGGCGCTTTATTGTCTTCCCTGCAAGTTGTCTTCCAGTCATCCACAGTAAAAGGAAGAACAGGTAACCAAATGAAGAATAGTTAGGTGTTACTAAGTAAACCGTGAGAAGGATTGTGAGAAGGACAACATAAGTTCCACATGATCGATACAGTGATAAAAACTTCTCACCAATTGCATTCAGATATGATCCTATTATTCTCTCTGTAAGATCAAACAAAAATGCAACCAATAAGATCCTTAATAATTTTATTCCAGTTATTATGATCAAAACAGAAATATGTAACTTGTGTGTGTGTGTGTGTGTGTGTGTGAAGGAGATTCAAGGCACTTATATTCATGGCAGAGAGAAGATCAAAGCATGCATTGTCAGATATCTTCAACCTTGGATGAGTAATACCATGAGAAAAGTTAGTTTCCTGGCTCTCTCCTGAGGCTCTAGTATAAACTGACAAAATAATAGATTTGAGCAAACCAGCTCTCAAGATGCTAAACCCAATTGGAGGCCAAGGAGTGTGTTGAACGATTGCTGAAAACGAGAGCAACATTTCAAACCCATGATTATGAATGGCAGAAAAGCATGCAAGCACAGCTATCTTCAGTAAGTCCCCAGAATTAGCATGAGTAAAGGAACCTACAGCAAATCATCAACAAATGTTGATATGTCTCAATAAATTATCCATATGTACCCATCATTGACCATAAACATTAAAATTATAAAGGAAATCTATGAATTTAAGTATTTCTCCAAAAGAAACAACTTGCTTGTACACATAAATAGATAAGGAAAGAGCCTAATACACCTACCTAGTTGTGAGAGAATTCTCATAGCAATCGAGTCTGTCTTCTCCATGGCAGTGGAGAGCAGATTAAGCTGAAGAGCATATAATAGTGTGAAATGTGCCTCACATAAAAGAAGTAGGCATTGCCGTATTTTCCTACCAACAGTGTGGCTTAATAGAAATATCAAGAAAAAAGCCACTGAGATATAGAGCAGAAAGATCATAGTTAGTATAACTATATTCTTTTCTAATTAAATTGCAGAATGAGAAAATATGGTGACTCAACTTACTATATAAGGCATGAATGAGGCCAGGGTTTAATGCAATAAGAAACAATAGCAACAGTGCGAGAGCACGAGAAGTTTTGCGCAGTCCCCATACTATAGTAGCTACAATCAGTACCTTTGTTTCTTCTCTCTCTGAAATGGAAGAACCAATTTCAAACTTTTGTTGGGAACATTCATGAGAAGCAGACATAAGAAGAGGATTTAACCTCACGCTGAAAACTAAAACAAGAAGCATCATAACAAGCAACAGTGAAGAATAATTCAGTGTTTAAAGATGTAATAAGAGGGTTAAGAAATTATAGCTACCAGGTAACATTGGCAGGTAAACATGGCAATTGACATTTTAAGCTAATATAAGCAAAGAGTTCAACCGTTTGATAGTCAAAGAAAAGGAGGCTTGAAATGGAAGAAAGATCTAGGATGCATTTTATTGCATAGAAAGATATCAAAGACAGACATTTTCACCTTAATTGAAACAGATTATGCCATGCTTTAAGTAAAAGAATCCTAGGTAGGAATCAATAGACTTTTCAGTTTCCTCACCATCTAAAGTGGAATCATCACTTGAAGATGGCCCATCCCTGTCTGACAAGTACAGGAAAACAGAATTGTTCACAAGATTACTCAAAGCAACAAGAACCCCTAGGCTAAATTGTGCCAGTAGATAAAATCCTGGGATAGGGTAGTGCCATAAGCCAATAGTTTCCCAAATCTCCATGTCCTGAAAACATTTTTTCCCAAACACCTTATGTCAAAGATTATATGATTATATCAAATGCAATCAGAGAATACAGGCAAGAATACTACCTGCCACTCTTCCTTATTAAGGACACTGAAAGCTATGTTGAAGATGTATGTGCTAACAGCCCACAAGAGAATGAAAACAAGAAGCAAGCCATTTAACCGGTGCAAGTGATACATGGAGGGGAAGACATATAGAACATAGCCAACATATGCTAGAAGTCCAAATGCGCAGAGACTTGCAAAGTGGAAACTCCAAAAAGAAAGAGCAAGCAAGGAAATCTGCCATATTCAACATTGAATACTCTTAAGAACACAAAATCCAAATTCTGCTGGTACATTTTGCAACTACAAGCAAGACAAAACAACCTCTATGAAATTACTAAACTCTGTCAAAATGAATTCTATATGGAAGAAATTAGAAAAGGGTTTGAAACAACTCTATGATCTGTCACACTCACTAAAAAAATTTACAGGCAAACATTACTAATGACCCTGCTATCCATTGATGTCTTCTATAGCTGGTAATGGTTGAAACAAAAACAGTTCTCATGGGACTCACCCCTACATTCCGGAAGGTAATACATAAATGGGGAAAGTTCTATAAGAGACAAGAAATATTGTAGTACAGTACTTACTGGAAAACCATAAGTAAAAAAGTTAATGCCAAATGTCCGTAAGATTGGTCTTCTCAACAAAATATTTGTGTGCCTAACCCCAGATCTGCAAAGCATTAGCCAGAGAGAGAGTTAAAACTACACATTTTAGTGCATTTCATGAGATGCACAGAAGTTTTAGTTAACCAATCAAATGTTATGTAATGGTAAATATCAAAACAACTTTCTTATGGCTCTGGATATCATGCTGAATATCAAACTCATGAATACAAGGTGTGCATGGTTTGACATTTTGCTGTTTCTGAAAACTTCAAAAGCAAAACCAACCACAATGTGTTTAACAAATCAAACTAAACTGGTAAATTAGTCTAGATTGGATAACCACCCGCTTCAAATACCTTGATTCACGAATAAAAAATGAATGCTTTGAAGGAAGAAGTTGCTCGGTCAAGCTGCTTGCTCTTGTGGACATGATGAAATCCATTTCTATAAGATCACATCTAATCCAAGATAGCTGCCAAATAAATAGAGAATTACAGAAATGAATAACTTATATCTACAGTTAAGAAAATGACAATCAAGGTCATAGATCAATAATGAAACACAATGGACACAATAGCTCCGAAGTTAAGCACCAAGTTATACTCACAATGATGTAAAAGAGTAGAAGAGAAAGACCGGACCAAACTTCTGACCACTCTGACTTGGCAGATATCTTATAGAGTCCAATGAAATCAGCTAGCCACTGAAAGATCCCAGAAAATTCCATGGGAAGTTGGTATACATAAAGCAAGACGATGTTCAAGCCCGCATACAACAAAAGATACCTCCAAGACCTTGCAAACCAGAGAGCAAAAGGTTACTAAGTGAACCAGAGAACATTAAGTATGTAATCTGATCAGCCAACTATAGGAGTTATAACATACTTACCTGAAAAGGCCAAGAAAATTGCTTGTTAAAGACCAATCAACAAGTCCAATACTACTACAGATGAAAAATGGTAAAGAAGCCCAAGAGGGATGACTAATTCCCACAACAAGCTGTACAGCAGGTAACAATAAGCAGCATAAAACCCTGAGATGGGAACCTTCCAGGAAAAGAAACAAGAAAGAGAACTTCAAGTCAAAATCTAAGGCATATGTAATTATATATAGGAATGGGAGACATCAAGCTTTAACTCAACAACACCAAATTGCTACAAACATGGTTGAAGAACTCAAGTGATTTAAGATTAAAAAGCAAGTAAACTTCAAATGTTTCGACAAACTCAAACCAAACAATACCTATCAACTTTCTTGATGAGAAAACTGGATTGAACTAAAATTCAAGATTTTCTTAATACAATCATACACTAAAATTAACCATATCAGTAAACCGTTCATTACACAATGGACCATCCATGAAGAAAGCATTAAGTTTTGATCCTTTCAATATCAAACAAGAGGGCTTCTGGTTCAAAATCCTTAGGCTTAGTTCCAAGGTCTAGCTCTTGCTTCACATGATTTATCTATGAACAAATTGATGATCTATTAAACTAGTATGCATATATACCAATTACCAACCAAACTGCATTTGTTTTCATTTTTTCCTTTTTGAAAGAAAGGAAGGGTAAATCCAAAAGCGTATGAATTCATAAACAGAAAACAAAATAGAAGTAATAAGAGAATTAGTAAGACGGTCATACGAGAGGTGTACCTATATGTAAGATAAAGGAATAGAGATGCCCCCAAAAAGAAACTCTCTTTGGATCCATGCCATATCTACTACCGTAGATTTCATATAACGCAACTAAAGCTGCTAGTACTTGTACTACCAAGAAATATGTTACGGATGGAAAGGTCCAAGACTGATCTCTGCAAAATCATCCCATTTTAATGTGTGAAGTATAGAGAAAATGGAACAGAAAGTATACTTCATGCATTAGATTTTACCTTAGGAAACCGATTAGCCTTGCCCATTGAGCTTCAGAAATGCTCCACCGGTCTTCTTTCACGACCCAAACAATGTGAAATATGGCGTGTGATAGAACAGTCAGCAAGGAAAAGATAAGGGTATACCATGATAATGGAGATTGCCTTTGGAACCGAAAACCTATCACACGACAAAAATACTTAGAAATTCTAGTCTTACAGAACGAAAATGATTCTAAATCAGAAGGGGGAAAAGATTGTACAAATGAAAAACACTGCTGTGCTTCATGCTAAAATCCTTCTGAACAACTATCTGTGCTCTTTTGTTAGTCATTTATGGCATGAATCAAAATGTACTGAAGAACTAATCCAATTATTAAAGTATTCTAATCAAGAATAGGACTCAAAATTTCTTTCGTATGAACTATTCCAACTGTTGACAATATTGAAATGGAAAACATCAAAAATCAAGATGAATAGACAATGTATGGCAAACAGAAAGACAAGTTGAAGTATTGGCAATTGCCAAGGTTAACCATGGTTGCTTTAAAAAATTGAAAGGAACACAGTTACTTCCAGAAATGAATTCCTGATTAAGCCCCATATACGAATAAATACTGACAACTCAGGCTTTGTATCTCTCGCCTTTCACATGCAAGCAGAAGCCCTCCTTCCCCGCAAACAATAGGATTTAAATAGTCTCAGAAAAGGAAGAAACAAACCTTCGTGCAGCAAACTTTTGCAGAAAAAATTGTCATGATTAACAATAGAAGACAGAAATAAACTACTAGACTGCTTACCAATTTTTGGAGCTGCATACTGAATGAAGAGAAAGGCTAACAGATCAACCAGAGATATCAAACTCCAATTTAGCAAAGCAGCTGCCACAAGGAAATGAACACAGTTCACAGTTTTTTTCTTTTGTTTTTGTTCATTTACTGCTTAAACATTTGGCTGGGTTTCTCTTAGCTAATCCTTTTCACTTACAGATGGAAATATTTTGCTTCTTTCATTATCTTAAAAATGGAATTGCCAATATGAAAAACAAACCCACATTAAATTTCCCTGACAAGAATGAAAAAATTGCTATGAGAACTCGAGTGGTGCATGCATGCAAACCTGTCAAAAGCAGCAGAGGCAATACAAATCCACTGAGGAACTTCCCCATACTAACCCCTCTTTTGAACCACAAATGTTATCATCACTGCAGTTTCACCATAGCTGAAATACGGAACTCAACGGTGCAAATATTGAATCTTTTGACACCCAAAAGCTTCATTGAGTAGATATAAGATAACCCATTTTCACAAAACATCTCTCAAACACCAAATAAACCAATGCAGAAGCAAGAATCTTCAATAGAATAGGACTTTTCTCTTTGGTATTATTCCCCTTGTTGTAGACGGGATCTCTTTCCAGAATTCAGAACTTTACTTAAACCAAAACTGGATTTTGATTAATTGATCTCAGATTCAGCCTGCCTAACCATGTTTCTCGCTTTACATAACAAGGTGAAAATTTTGTTTGCACTTTGTACATTTCTAATTTGTTGGTCTTATGTTTCCAAAATACTAGGTAACAGAATTCCTGCTCCTCATACATATATCCATATATGGGTGTTTTTGGGATGACCAAAATATTTTGATGTACTTTTTCATTTTCCTTATTTAGTAGTACTATGATTTTTGAGGACCCACAAAATCGATGTCACATGAGGTGGATTTGGAAGTACCCTTTTGCCCTCCTTCGTCCATTTGAATAGACCAGTGGAAGCTGCCTCTCTTTAACTCTGTGGTCTTTCCACCTCTCAGCATGGCATTGGCTGAGAAGTGATCTCAACTGAGAGCAAAAGAAAAAGCTTATGGGTATTGGCATATTTTTTAAGCATTGGTGTGAAAAGTAAAACCTGCTTTGAGCCACCAATATTTTTTTTTGGTCAAAGGTGTCTGAATTCTTGTTCAAGCAAGGGAAATTTGCTCATTGTTTTTTCCACACATGGATGGTATAAATCATAAGTCAAAATGGGAAAAGCTCTCTCTCTTTGCTTTTATGGGCAAAAGACTACTTCCCCTTCTTTCTTCCTTTCCTGGAGGGCTGCTACGCAAGCCTAGGTGGATAACAGGTGAAAGGTTTGACATGTTAAAATTGATACTACGGCAAAAGGATGTGCATTTCCATCCTGATCCAATCTTCGTCAGAGCTGTAAGATTCAAGCAAATCCATAAAACAGTTGTTTCCAGCCAAGTTCTAGTTAAATTGATCCTAAAATTAAAAGAAAAAGGTGCAATTAATTTCCCCCCTTTTTTCAATTTATTTGAACCTTAGGTATTCAATAGGAAAATACATACAACAATTTAACTCTGAACCCATTGGAGAGTTTAATCAAGAAAAACCGAAAGGGTTTAGAAAATTGCCAAGAAATAAATTGTAAAATAGCAATAATATTAGTAAGTATTTTCCTTTCCCATCATAAAGACGGTTGAAGCTTAAAATTTGGCATGGCTCTCATCAACTGTTCAAACAAGTCGGTGAATACTTTTGGAATTCCACGCATTAACACGTTTTGATGAAAAGATGAAAAGACTAATTAATTAATGTGTATGTCATTTATTGCGATTGCATTCAATCCTTGTCTGCTTAACAAAGCTAAATCTACATTATCTTTTTTGGGTTTGGATCTAAATCTATATAGCTATCTTGAAATTGGGTCTTGAATATATGAAGAGAAATATTGAATAAAAAGTTCATAAATGGAGGAAAGTGCCAATAAAACTAAGAAATACATTTGATGAAAAGGGCAAAGAAATCCCAAGTTCCCCGTAGAACTGTTGAAATGTGAAAACAAAGAAAGAATGGAATCTTAGCCCCGTAATCTAAGATAAGAAAGAGATTTCTTGGAGAAAAGCTCACCAAGCAAAGCATTATAAATCGGAGGAAAATCAAAGCCTTTTTTCCTCTATCCAACATTCTTTGAGTTTCTACCCAATCCCAAATTCCCACCTTTGCCAACTACAAGAAATCGAGTTTACTATAGCAAAACCTTTGTTGTTTATACCAGAAAAAACCCACCAAGAAAGGAAAGAAAGAAATGCAAGAGAATAACCATAACCACCATAACTGCAGGCTGTTACCCAAACGCATAATCCTGGTCCGGCATGGTGAATCCGAAGGCAACTTAGACACCTCGGCCTACTCGACAACCCCAGACCACAAGATCTCCTTAACCGAACAAGGCCGTGTCCAAGCCCGCCAGGCAGGTTCCCATCTCCGGGACCTCATCTCCGGCCACGGGTCTTGCTCTGATTGGCGGGTCTACTTCTACGTCTCTCCTTACGAGCGCACCCTATCCACGCTACGGGAGATCGGGAAATCGTTTTCCAAGAAAAGGGTGATTGGGGTAAGGGAAGAGTGTAGGATTAGAGAACAGGACTTTGGGAATTTTCAGGTGGAGGAAAGGATGAAAGTTATAAAGGAGACGAGGGAAAAGTTTGGAAGGTTCTTTTATAGGTTCCCTGAAGGTGAATCTGCTGCTGATGTTTTTGATCGTGTTTCCAGTAAGTTTTTTCTATCCCTGAGTTTTTCAAATGTAAAGTTTGCATTTTGATTGAAGGGTGGTTAGGAAAATGAGTTTCTTTTGAGAAACTAATGGTGATTTGGAAATGGGAAATTGAATGGTTTTTGAATTGTTGTAAAAAGTTAAAACTTTTGAAGAAGTTTTCTGATCTTTTGGCAGTTTTTCACTGTCTTTTTGAAACTTTTTTTTTTTGGTTGAATTTCTGGGTTAATACAAGCAATGTAGTTGCAGAGAAGTAGGATGCTTTTTGTTTCTTTAGTTAGTCTGTCAGCTAGTTAATCAGTTTGTTAGTTGATTTGAATTGGTTCATGGGCATTTAGCAAATTGATGCTGAAAGAAAAAGGAAGTGGTAGTGGTAATTTATAGTAGTTTAGTAAGTTGATACTGACATTGAAAGTTCTTTCATTGATTGTGAACGCTAGAAGAAAGGAAAAATAAGAGACTATCAAAATCAATGTAGGAAGATCTCAAAATAAAGTGCTTCTTGTTTTCTGTTCTTGGCTGCATCTCTCTGTTTTGAATCTTAGAGAGAAAAGATTTCTTTTGTTGCTTCCTTGACTATGTATGAGCATACATTGCTTTGATATATGTATATTTTTCTAATCTAAACAAATTGAAGCTAGGGAACAAGTTGAGACAGTTTTTTTTTTTACTTTATGGGTGACTTTGATTCTTTTTAAGGTGGTTGTGCATGGCTCTCGTGGGTAATTCTTTTGAAATGATTGCCTCCCCTTTGGTTAGGGAAGGGGCTTGATTTTTGTCATTGCATCCGTGTAGAATTTGAATGAATTAAGAATAATTATGTTTAATGGCTTTGAAAGTCTTCAATTAAGGAAAGTAGGATTGAACCAGATGTGACTCTGAATTTTCAAGGGGATTGTATCTATTGGAAACAGATCTGTGGGTCTAAAATATGGTTTATATGTGGTGTACAATGTTAATTTGAGACAAAGGGATGGATTCTTCAATCTTAGCAAATGCTTCTGATATGTAGTACTTAGGGAAGGATTGATGGAAGAAAAATTGAAAAAAGATGTTGAATTTTTGCAGGTTTTCTTGAATCTCTCTGGAGAGACATAGACTTGAACAGGCTTCACAATGATCCTTCTCAAGACTTGAATCTCATAATAATCTCACACGGGCTAGCCTCACGGGTGTTTCTGATGAAGTGGTTCAAGTGGACGGTTAAGCAATTCGAGCTCTTGAATAATCTAGGAAATTGTGAGATTCGAGTTATGGAATTGGGACACAGTGGAGAATATAGCTTAGCAATCCATCACACCGATGAAGAGTTGCTAGAATGGGGACTCTCCCCAGAAATGATCAAAGACCAGAAATGGCGAATCCACTCCGACAAGGCTAGTTGGAATGATCATTGTAGCTACTATCTGAACTCATTTTTTGACCACCAATTAGACTCAGATGAAGATGTCACAAAAGTTGATATCGACTCAGATGATGATAGCAGAAAAAATTGATGTAGATACTGATTCTTTGAATTCAAAAGTTCTGTGATATAATAATATTCTATTCCCAAAGTTCATCTGTAATTATCCTACCTTCTTTTCCTAATTTCAAGTTTATAATTTGCAATTCATTTACAAAGAAAAAGACTGTAACTTAAGAGACTGAAAAAAGAACCAAAGAATGCAAAGAGGAGCAAGTTGATGCTACAGTGAGGATAATTTGCAGGTCCTTCAGGTGAAAAATCTCAATCCTAAATCATCAATAAGCTCATTCATCAGCAAGATAAGAGCAAACAGTCATACCTCTAAAATGGAAGCGAGTTCCTTTTCCGTTAGCAAAGAATATTCATCCAAATCTATCTTTCTTTCAGCAATGAGTTTAATAGGAGCATCAGCAGCCCACAAACAGTAGACTGTTAATCATCCTAGCATAAAAGCAGTCACCTCAAGCCACAGATTGTGCTGAAGGGTGTGCAGCACTGGCCTGTGACAACTGCATCAAAGCTGAAGTTTAGTGCAGTTCAATAGTGCATTACTTCTCAATGCAAATACAACATGATTTGCATTCAACTGTGGTTTTGGCTCTTGCTGCCGGCCTTGTGAAAAAGGATTATGGATTAGGAATGTTTCTCAAGCAGACCATAAGGAAACATCTATAATCAATGGAAGAAACTGAACCAACTTGAAAAGATTTATTATGCTTTGTTTTCACTTCTGTAAAAGTTACAAAATAACACTAATCTTAGTATCTGTTAAGATTAATAGGTTATCTTGGCCATCTCCCTAGCCAATAATATAGAAAGAACAAAGCAGAAGGAAAATGAGCTAAACCCCAAACTGCTGCTACAGTTCATAAGAGCTTAGATCCCACCTTTAAAATCGATTTCAAAGGTTTTGGCTCATCTATTTCTTTTTCAAATGAACCCATTTTTTCTGTCCTTTTCTTCTTTCTACTTTTCTTCCTGCTTGCTGCCATCTCCTCTACCGTGTCATTTATGCTAACCATTTTCTTTGGAGCTTGAGCTTGAGTTGCAGCCCCCTCTTCATTTTCCTCTTCCTTGGATGGTTCGGAGGAAATGCTACCGTGACCGCCGATTTCTTGAGCAACTTTTTTATGATCATGGGCTGGATCTGGCTCTACTTTGTCCTGCAAACTTGCATCTTCAAATGGTATTTCTTGGGCAACTTTTTTATGATCATGGGCTGGATCTGGCTCTACTTTGTCCTGCAAGCCTGCGTCTGCAAATGGTGTTTCTTGAGCTGAAGCCTCATGAGAACTATGGCCTAACGTTACACTTTTCATGGCATACGTTGCTAGACATTCAATGATGAAGTTGTAGAGCCAGTGGCAAAGGCTAAGAAAGCGTTGAACCATTTTTGTGGGATATTTCTTTAAGGAAATATGATTATTTTAGAATATGATCTGCAAATGGGAATGGAGGGGAATGTTAATTCTGATGGATGGTGAGGAATACTTCTCTTGGAAGTAAGGAGAAATACTCTACTTTCCTTAAAGGACTTACTATGTTCTAAACCCGAAGTTTTTGTCTATCTTATTGCTTCTGTACAAAGCATCAGAGGGTAGCAAGAATATCAGAAAGGAATTCTTTAACGAGTTAAGATTACTAATAAGGACAACGCCATTATTGATGCAATATGAATACAGGAATATAATTCTGAATCTGAGCTAGTTCTTCCTCTTCATCTGGGGTGGGAAGACGGGTATTTGATGATTAGCCGATAAGAACTCCATAAGTACAAAAAGGATTGCTTGAGAGGAGAGGAATTCGAAACATATGACATTAAGCTGCAAACTGCTAGCCATTATTACTCTTTAAAGAACTCACGTCAAAAATTGAGTAGAGCAAAATGAATAGAATACATGTATTATACTAATTGCATAAGTTACCAAACGACCAGCAAACAAAATTGGGTAAGAGTAAATTAATTATTAGTCATCAGCATGGCAAATATCGGTCTGCAGTCAATAATAGCTAGCTCACACTTTGATTCGCCCACAAAGACGCCAGTAAGCCCCAGGATGAAAGAGAGACTTCTCAAACACCCAGATATCACGGACAAGGACCTGGCGAAACACAGAGAAGCAAGAATTACATGCAAAACTTATGCAGATGAGACAGCGCTTGAAAAACAAGAGCAGTGATACATGAATACACCAATGCAAGTGAATAGCATATCATCTAAGTAAAGACATGACTCTGTGAATGCCTTTCGTTCCACACGGTTGTTTCTGTTATGTGCATTTTGTTTATATAACATAACCTTCTAAGTTGGTTAATTGCAGAATCTTCAAGTATCTAACTGACCAATCTAAATTAACCCTCAAGAGATTCCTAACCACTTAGACTTTTAAAATTCTTATATAAAATAGTTAGAATATTGCAACAAATTAAATCAATCAAAAGGAGATCCACTATAAAGAGGAAAGAATCAAGAGTCTATGTCATGCTAATATTACTAACAATCAATACCTCCTTAGTTTTATCTCCGGCAACAACAGCACCTTTTGAATCATATGCTTCAAATTTCTGCCAAAACAACAGAGACATTATCCAGGTCAACCAATGACCATACTTATATCTATTAGAGGAAATTAAGAAGTGGTCTTCTACAATTGTTGCTGTGCATCAATAATAAAGGAAAAATTTTGGCCAAGAAACAACAAAATATAAAATTGTCAGTCATGTTAGGTATAGCTGCAATCTTGCTTGAGCAGACTGGGTGTGCTTTAAACAGGTTCATCAATATGTATAAACATGTAATGTGCCGCCAAACAAAGATTTAGAGGAAGTTAAAGTAGAGTCAGTTTACCTGCTTAGACAGAAACTCAAGAGTAAGTTGTATGAAAGCTTTATTTATGTCATTCTTATCAACACCAATCTGTAATATACAATCATCAGACGGCAGGCCATTAGTTAAAATAAAACAAAGGTCTGTCAATTAATTAAGATCAGGGTTTCATATCTGTGTGTTTCCACTCTTTTCACAGAAGCATCTTTATGATACAAAAAGCATAGGAAATCCACCATAGTACAACCTTATCTGAAAGGTCCCATTCCACAGGTTATATAATATGAAATGCATTCATAAACAAACAAAGCCATTTCCAACCACAATGCATAGATAAATTATTAAAGAAAAGTATCAACTACTACTGCAATTTTGAGAGTTCATGGCAATTGAAAATAATCAAACTGAAACGCCATATAACATTTCTTTCTACCACACACACATAGCAAGCATGGTTCAGCAGCTTTTGTCTGATCATCCTGATCTGAGTTTTTCTATTTAGTTCATAGAAAAGTAAGACTTCAAATACAACATGGGGAAGATCAACACCAAAACAAATGATAAGTTGGATGCTAACCAGTCGAGCTCGCAAAGTTCGTATTTTAACAATAGGTTCAACCATCTCCCAGTAAACCTGACTCCAGACAGATTCCCTTTTCTTAATTTCATTCTTGAGTGCCTATTAGAAGTCAAAGAATGTATCAAGAACAATAAGTATAAATTAATACATGCAATAGAATTAAACATAAAATTCTTAGAGAAGCAACAGCATGACAGCATGTAAAGGAATAGAACCCTACAGAGAACATATTCTCCGTAACTGCTTTTCGTAATGTTGTTTTGTCACCATTCGCCATTAGAGAGTTTATCTGTGAGAAATGAGAAGTATTTCAGCATGGAGAGAAAGAACAGCAGTGGAAGTTTATGAGCAATACCACAAGAAAATATAAAATAAAGCAAATTGGCATATAGATTTCAGAACACCTTAGGTCGGTGCAACACCAACCACCCCTTCTCTTTCTCAGGCAATGATAACCACAAACCTAGGTGATGAACCTATTGCACAAATTTATAGTATTAGAATTATGCATACCTCCTTGAATAGTTCAACGGCCTCCTTATAGAACTGGTTTTTTGAGTATCCAGATCTCCTTAACTTGGAAATGGCATAGGCACTTTTGAGCTGCAAACAAGAATCTGGAACGTGACTTATTAGATAATGATACAGTGGATCTCTCTAAGTCCATATCTGCATTCCTACAATGCAATTTGCACATGATTCACATTACCATTATTCTGTACTTAGGGTATTAAAAGGAGGAGGAAGAAGGGAGATCTTTGGGGAAAACAAAAGTATAAAGCATGCAAGATGGCCAGCTGTTGTCACAAAAAGGATGGTCATCATGGCATCATAAAGCAAGGGTGTTTAAGACTATCCACTTGAGTTAGAACTTAGAACAGACTGTATAAAGCACGCAAGATGATTACCTCCGACTTGATATCATCTCTTGTTCTTCTCCAACCGCTTCTTGTGAAATATCTAATACACAAGAGATCAGAAGACAGCTGAGGGAATAAGTATATTCATGATCTATTTTACGAAGTGAGTTCAATTGGCAAGGCACTACAAGAACATAAGTCTAATGAGAATGAACCATGTGATTTTTACAATTCTACTACAAATTTTGCATCTTGAAGTTGGACTAATTCGCCCTCCTTTGATAGAAATCTTGCTTTTTCACTTTCACAGAATCGCATTACACATCCATGTTGGTAAGAGACATGGTGACCAGAACATTTTTGAACTTTCAGATGACCATAATAAATTGGCTTTCTTGAAAGCTATTAAACTGGTTCGCAGAAAAGCTATGTATTGAAATGACAGCCTCCCAATTCAATTTTACACATTTCCTTTTATCTGCATCTTCACATTAATTCTCAAAAAGAAACTTGACCATAAGGTTCAACAAAATAGACAGTTGACCTTAAATATAGTGCTATGGGCACTTTCGGAAAAATTCTTTTTAAACTAAGTTTGATGCTTTTGATTTAGTTAAAAACCCAAATTGCAATACCTATAGGCTTTGATAACAACTTCACAGAAATTAGACTAACCTCTTCCAAAATGAGATTGATTCGCCAGGTGCATAAGGTTCATAGACAAATCCAGGGCTAGTCATAGACACTTTAAGAGCTCCCTGCATTAAAAATAACATGAGCACAGGCGTAATTTACTTTGAACAACATGAATCATTGAATAATAAAACCCCATTTTAAATTCATCAATGGTCCAACTAAGAACAAATAAAAAAACATATATGCATACAAAATGTATGATAATGATCCACCATAAAGGAAACAACCACCTGTCCTAATCTAAATAGAAAGGTAGAAATTAGAGAATGGCCAGTTCAGAAGGTGTCACGCACCATTTGCCGTGCTTGTGCAGGGGCTTTCGCTTGTGTGCTTACAGACTTTTTGCCATTCAAAAAGATCAACAATTCAGCAGCCTAAAATCAGATTGGAAATAGATACCAATTAACTGCCTTCACAATCTAAAATCAGAAGGCCAACACAAAAAACAGTAAACTGACTTTGCATTTCACACTACATAATGTTACCATAGTAGAACGACGTGTCATCGTGTTTCTACAAGTCCAAGGAAGAGCATTATTATCTGTCCTATATAAGCAAGAAGAGATGCCACGGCCACTGAATTGAGGAACTGAGGACATGAAAACCACTTAAATGTATGATCTAAAGGAGCAGTCTTCTATGTCACAAATAAAAATACCTCATGAAATAAACTAAGCTTATGGGATTCAATAGAAATTGACAAAAAAAAAGAAGTTGTCTAACCATTTGAAATTCCTGTGAAATAGCTTCTAGAACTCCTGAGCCTGAAAAAGCAAAAATCTAAGCTTTAATACCAAAAAAATGGGAATAAGGAAAAACAAAATACCCTTTAATTGAAAAAGGGGATTCTTCTATTTACTATCGAATGTACCCCCGGTCTTCCTTCATTTTCCCAATAACCAAACAGAGCATTGTATAATAAGTTCTTAAGAATGTAAGACAAACCCAATGATCAAAAACACAAATAGATTTCCCTCATTTCAATAAATCTAAAGAAAAAAAAATCAAAACAGCTTCGAAAATTGAAGATTTTTCTTTCAATTTTTGAAGCACCCAAGATGGTAAATTCCGAGAAGGAAAAGAGAACTTACAGAAATGAAGAAGATTCTCGACGCTCAAAGGTTTGATAAAGAGAACGAATCGTGTTGAATCTTCGTAAAAGAGCCATCCTTTTCATCAAAATCAAACTTCAAATCCTCGAGAGTCTTTATTTGGTGCTGCTGATTCGAGAGTGAGAGAGAGGTTTTGTTTGAAATTCTTCCAAGGGTTTAAGGAGAAAGTATGTGGCACTACGCGGATGTATCAAGATCAATGCAGCATAAGCATTTTTGGCTTAATGGGCCTGCTGCTGCTAGCTATAAGACAATAATAATCTAATAAGTTTATAAATTACGGTCATTTAATTATTCAAGATTACTCAATAATATTAAAAATATAATTTAAGTTTTAATTTCTTGATCGGATCTTTCCTAATCCATACTCTTAACTGTAAATAAATTTCATTTTCAATCAAAATTTATCTTTTAATTTATTATAAATTGAAAAATTTTTAAATTTCGTAAATACATTATATTTTTCTCAAATTTATATAACAAAACTTTTGTGTTATGATTATTTCTTTTTTTTCCTAATTACATTGGCACTACTTTACAAAAATAATACTCATAAGACTTTATTGTGAGGCTTGGAAAAACAAATTAATAGAACATAATCAACAAATCAGAAAAATAGAAAATTTCTTTTTAATGCTGTGCTGAAGGTTCATCAGCTGCACCAGTGGGTGAACCAGGTACAAATGGAACAAATCCCCTTCCTCCAAAAACTGGTCTCATGAATCTGTCATCAAATTTTCTCCACAAGTAGTGGACAGTCCATGTAGGGTGAGTCATTAGCAACCTCAAACTACTTCTCTTGGGGACTGCTGGTGGTGGTTGATTCTCTGCCAAGTCACTTGGTTCACCATTCTCAATGAACAGGATTCTTAAGTCTTCCAGGCTAGGGATATCAGTAGCATCTGAGATGTTGGGTTTTGCATGTCTTAGCAGCACTGCTTCTATCAAAGGCTTGGTTATGGAACCAAAGACCTGTTGGAGAACAGGAAAATCCCCATATCAATGTTCCTGACAGGACAAGTTCAACATGTTGCAGAAAAACAGGATGTTAAACTAATAACTTACCACTGTACTAAACAGGACTACAATTATGGTAGAGGTGATCATCAGTGCTGAATCATGTGTCGATGAATCCTCAGAGTTCGAAAACTGCAGTTGAGTATGTTAAAATCAACAAAGAAAGCAGCAAATTAAGTTGATAAACTAAAATTAGGAGTATGACAACTCACCTGGTTATAAGACAGTGCAATGGTAACTGCACCTCTCATGAGGCCTGCCCACCACATTATAAACTGAGAATTCAAAGAGTTAGCAAAGTTTTGGAACAGAAACTGTTTGACAATGGCTAAAAATGCTTGGATGGTTGCAATTATCACCTGTTGTCTAAACTCAATCTTTGTACTGTCTCGTTTCCGAATACAGTTTATGAAATTTGCCAGAGGGTACACAAATGCTGCCCTTCCAACCAACACCAATGCAAACAGTGTTGAGCTGACAGCAAGAAAAGTTGCTGCGCTGAATCCAGATTATATGATGCAAGTTAGAATCATAAGATATTCTAGCTGCTCACTCAACCAACTTCCATACTTAGCAACTGAGTATTTGATCAAATGATACATCAGAAAGAGAAAATTACCCTGCACTGCTGGCTTTCCATTTGTCAATGTCCAAGGCATCCATGCCGACATATAGGAATATAAATGTTTCTGCAATGAATGAAATTGTTGCAAATGCATGCCTGAAATCATCAACCAGTATAAGGAATGAGGATTAAAGCATCTCATAGGAAATCCATCAAACTCGTTCAACCTCTATCCCTAGCACATATCAGAACCATTGGCCAGAGGATAATATTAAGTTGCAGCAACTAATCACTTGCCAGAATATCAGTTTTAAGGTTCGAGATCATCCTAAATTGAAGTCGAACATGTTCTTTAAACCCATCCAAATGCAATGTCTAAGAATTACTTAATATATTCATGGACTGAATAGAAATTTTAAGACTATTCTGGTACATAAATGAAAGTGCATATGCGTTTATGCCCATGCCTTTAGACCAACAGGGCAGGTTAGATAGAATTTGCAGCAAAGCCTCTAATATAGTGACGCATTCTCAAATTTATGTTCTCTCACTTGTTACCAAACTATTAAACCAAACAAATTTACTAGGACAATTTTAAAAATCTTCCATACTGATTAACTATCAAGATTTGGTGACAGTTATGCTCAAAGATGCATCTTCAAATATCAGGGAAGAAAAGAAAAAGAGAATGCTCTTACTTTGTTGTTACCCTTGAGCTTTCAGTAACATTATGCCATGTGTAGTGTGACATGACAATGCCACAGAAGAAAATTGTCAAAATCCCACTGAGACTCAGTAGCTGCAAGAAGAAATAAGTTTATTGCCTTTAAGAAATCCACTGCCAAGTCATGATTTGCAGAGATAACCCATCTGTAATGCTAGATTTGAATCCAATTCTTAGACATGCTTTCCGGTGGCAATTTCATTGTGATTTTTTCTTTCTACAAAAGCAAAAGAAAAGGAAATGGAATCAAGAGATGATTTTCATATTCTCTTATTTGTACCTCAGCCAACATATATGACAAATAGGCCATGATCATCATGAGAGCAACCTCCCGGTCTGTTGAATGCCTATATTTTAAGAACGGCAAGGGAATTATCTCATTGTTCTAGAACAACTTTTAGTAACAAAAGCTTCAACAAATGGCTGAAACAGGGTACTCCTTCATACCTTCCAAAGTAAAGCGTTTTTATGATAAAAGCACTTAAAAGACCAGCCTGAAACATCAGAATGGAAGCATGTTAGCATATATTGAAGCCTTATCAAGCCCCCTCAAAGTACTGACTTCAAATTTAGCATGAAATAAGATAAACTTGTGAGGCTGATTTGGCTTTCTGACTCTGGCTAATGCTCAAAGTCCTAACCAGGGAAATTTTGGACTTCGAATGAGGCATTGTTGCACAAATAAACACCAGATCGCTTGTTAAGGTCATCTATCTGAATAACAGTAAAGGAAGAATCTTGTTCTTGTCTGGAAGAAAAAAGAAATTTCAAGAGATGGACTTAGCCTAGATCTCACTGTAAGAAAAAGAAAAAACTTGCTCTTGCTTTTTGATAATCTAGTATGCAATTCCTCAATCATCTTCTACCCTTGCCATCATCTCATCCTCAAAGCATCCGAAAACCCCATCCTCCTAAGACATATAGAAAATTAAAAGGAAGACAGCATACATATTCATTGAAAAATCTCTCAGTAATTTAAGCAACCAAACTTGATGACTTACTACTATACCAAGAATGGTACTGGTGAAGAAGAGGTAAAGAAAGGTTCCCAACAGTTTCAATGATATTGTGGCATCAATGTTGTTGAAATCAATTGATTGGACCGAATAGAAAAGCACAATAGAAGTAGCATCATTCACTACTCCCTCCCCAAACACAACACTGTAGAGGAAGGGTGTTTCATCTTGACTGAGAACCTTTAACAACAAGAAACAATTCATAGATTAGTGTCATAGCAAATATGTGTTTAGGCAAACAGTAGAACTGTATCAAACATACCTGCAATGTGCACACAGAATCAGTTGCTGACAATATGGCACCAACAGCTGCATTAGGAAACTGAAACTGTCAGTACTGGAGAATCAATATGCAGCCGGCAGCATATCAAAGGAAGAATTGTGAATTATTATATCACTTATATCACCTAAGTAATCTTGAGTATTCAGGGATGTCACACCGATTCTCTTGAACAGCAAAATGGCACCTGCAAAGTTTCCAAGAAAATATCGGATAACATAATTAGTAAGCTATTAATCTGTATATGTATAACTATGAGGAATTCCAGGATTGACATTCCTGGTAACTAGTAAAGAGACCAGTAGATCTTACCTAGTGATATGAGGCAGAATGAAATTACTGTACCAAATATTCCAAACATCAATATTATTGTGAAATTCTTGAAAAACTGCTTTTTCTTGACCTGGAATCTGCAGCCAGAATTTCAAAAATTCAGAGACCAAGAACTGATTCCAATATTCATTTATGTGACTTTATTTTCCCTAGAAAAACTTATTGAAACAACATATTAACCGCAAAAAATCTGGATCCCACCTCCCAGGTTCAATTAACATAAACCCCAATTGGAAAATAACTTGTTTTGCAGCAAAGATATCAAATTCCATCCAATTTTAGCTTCAACGCATTGGTTGCAACCCATCAAAGTCACCATAAAAGATTGAAATGATCACAGAAGACCTTACCCGGCATTGAAAATTATTGGAGGAAGCAAGTAAAGGAAGAACAAGTCCTCACTAAACACTAGAATCCGCGAACTAGTGCCTTTACTCACTAACAGCACCACAGCTCCAGCACAAAAACCCTACAGCCAAACCACACAAAATCAATCACAATTCTACCAAAACAATCACCATTCAAGCTAGAATAAGAACAACTTTACATACCAAAAGAAGTGCTGTGATAGATTCATTAGCCCACCGGTTCTCTTCGAGTAGATGTCCTATGATGATACAAGCACAGAGAAGTGAAAAGAAGACAGTAAGTGCAATGATGGTGCTAGTACTAAGAAAATCTGATGAATTCTGGACTGCTGAAAGATGTGGCATAGGATCAAAGGTGGACATGTTCGAGGGTCTGTAGATGAAATTTACATTCACAAAAGTTGGTTTTTCGATAGATTGGAATAAAGGGCATTTGACTTATAAAAAGGAAGCTCAGATGAGGTCTGCAGTGACGGCTAAGATCAAGGATTCATTTGAGTTCTTACAGATAGTTTCGCCCTGTCTTTTGAAAGCTACAGTTGGAGGGAAGACTGGTAGGTACTGTGGGGATTTGTTTCATAATTTACTATCTTCCAGATGGCGCAAAAAAAGCAGCCACGTGGAATTGAACTGATTGCCATGCATTTTCATTAATATTTAATATGGTGAAAGTAACATTATGTCTTCACTCTTCTTGTAATTCTCTCTTTAAGTTTAGGAAAGGAATGATTTGATATCTACCTAATTTAATTAAGATATTATGTAAAAAAGTTTTTTTAATTTATTTAAAAAAATTTAAATACTGTTTTATTTTTTATTATATTAAATTAAATAAATTATTATAATTAATAATTACATTATAATATTTAGCTCATTGATACATTATTTCTGTCTACAAAACAAAACTCGAATCTTTCTTTTAATTATAAAAAAAAATTATTATAATTAATAATTAATTAATTATCTTTAATTAAAATATTAAAAAGTTGGTTTGTTTTTGGTGTAGCAAAAGTCCAAAAGTGGAATAACCCCGTGAATTTGTGGCATCATGTCAAGAATTCACTGATGGACACAAGGTGAATAAGTTGAGTTCACCAGCAGGAGATCGGATCGATACTCCCAAGGTGTGCGCTTGGTTGAATACGGCCGTTCGCTGGCGCCTTGTGAAGGGATATTTTATTTCTTGTTTGTAAAAATCTAAAATGCTCGAGACTAAGAAACAAGAGAAGAAGGTGCATCCAGTGAGGCAGTCAAACACGGCAATATTACATGCATGCATGTTAGCCAGCCAATTGTGGATTAATCATGGGCCACAAGATTAAAGCTTAAAAGTCAAGCCTCCTTTTGCAATGATTAAATCCTAGTTTTTCTTTTATTGTTTTTTTTGGTATTTATTGAGAATTAAATCATAGTTAATTGCCCTTAAATTAATAATGGTTGCATGATCAACCATCATAGAGATCATGGACAATGAGATCTCCTCTATATCTTAAATAAGCTCATAATATGACTTTCAATGCTATATAAATACAATGGGACATATAGTTTATAATATTTATAAAAGACTTTAATTAGAATTTTACTATTAGGAAATAAATTTTACGACATGTATTTATAGTACAATATTATGAACTTCACGTCAATAAGAAATGAAATAATTTTAAATATATAAATATAGATTTTTTTTAATTTATTCAATATGTTTTTAGGTTGAAAACGGAAACTATTGAACAATCAATCTCTAAGGAATACATGGAGTAACTTTATGAATGTCTTAGCTGTTATGCCGCATTAGTTATGGTTGGTCAGTTTTTCAATTTTTTTTTTGTGCAGCTAAGGTAACGTTTGTTGTGAAGAAAGTAAAAACACATTCCTTGTAATGTGTCCAATTAAATTACATTGTAGTGTTTGTTTTACAACAGACCACTGCAATGTAAGATTGCAATGCAATTACATTGCATTGCACTTTGCAATATTCTTAAACACATTTTTACTCTTCAATTTTATTACTTTATTAAAAATATTTTATAATATTATAATTAAAATAAAATATATAATATAAAAAATCAAAAATTAAAATAAAATAAAATATAAAAATTAAAATTTATATAATATAGGTAAAATAAATTAAAATAAAATATATATAATAAAAATTATATTAAAAAATAAAAATAAAATATATAAAATTTAATAATAAATAAAAATAAAATATATGACATTAAAAATATATTAAGAGATGATATATATATAAAAATTAATAATAAAAATATAATATATTAAATTTATATTTTAATATCTAGAGTAATTTTAAAAAATTAACATTAATTCACAGCAAAATACTTTAAATCAATACTGTAATGTTATTTTATCATTTTAATATTATTTTTTGTATACCAAACACTGTAATGTTATTTTCTCTTAATAATTTTCAATCACATTACTTTAATTAATGTATTGTAAAACACCAAACGCACCTAAGTGCTATTTTTGCGAACCTACCAATTCATCATGATTTATTGCTTTATTGAAATATTTGATCTACAATTTCAACTAACCGATTGCTTTCAACATAGATATGTAAAACCATCAAGGCAGGAGAACTTGTCACTTGGGCGAGGCCAATTCTGAGAGACAAAGACCGCTGTAAGAGCTTGCTGATCTAAGGCTTGGAGGGAAGTCCCCGAAGGAAGATTAATTTTGTACCGGTTTGCACAACTGCAACCGCTTGTGTTGCTCCTGAGGCAAGTCCAAGGCCCACAATGGGTGAAGTGGTTCAGTCATTAAAAAAGGTGCAACGTGTTACAGAATATCAGGATTCAATGTTAACCATTTCCAACAACCGGCTTAACCAGAAACAGTCCTCCACTGCCTCTGAGTCTGATAAGACACCGTCAATGTTCTCTTCGGGTCCTCACTCTGGTCTGAGTACCCTTGACAATGACAACTTTTTACGGACAGCAGTTTCCTCTGAAGATCTTCATGAAGGACGATGAACACTTTGAAGAGAGATATAATCAACTGGAAGCCTTCCTTCAGTTGAAAGCTCATCACAACCCAATACACCAGTGATAAATTTTCTTAATAGGAAGTGGTAAATTTGAAATAGGATTTTCGAAGGTGTCATAGATTTTGTAATTTGGATAAATGGGGAAGGGTGCTTCTTGCTGTCCTAATTGTTGTACCACTGCTAAGTTTTCCCTCATGCAATGGTCGTTGAAATTTTGTACATATGCCTTGTAGCTAGTTCAATTGCATTAGCTTTCGATTTCGAGGGTTTATATTAAACTTTTTTTTATGGGTTAAAAAAAAAAAAATTTTGCGTAGTTCAATATAATAATTTTTTAATTGAGTTTTAATTCTTTTCTGTAACGACAAGAACAACCTATTCACTAATTTAGAACTTAATAAATAATTTCAATGCTTGATTTAAATTTAAGTACTCTTAATTACCTCTAAGACTTGGAATAACTTTGATCGTAGAGGATTGGAATAGGACTCTGTCAATCTACCTTGTCTTTGAATCAATTAATTACCAATTAATTAAGGAAGCTGCCTAGTCTTGGTGATGGAAACTTCCTGTGACCCAAGTTTGTATCATGACTTTGCATTTTATCTCAAGTATAAAACTACTGGTGGGATATTTGTCTGTTGACCTGGAAGATTTGTATATGTGCAGGCAAAGAAACTGCTGCAGGTTTTCATTGCATCAAATTTGGTTCAATTTGGAAGATTGATTCTCTGAGTAATTGGATCTTGTGCTTCCTTTGTATCTTGATTTAATATTCAAACTTGCCAGGTGCATTTCTCTTCTTCCCTTCATGTTTTCGTTTTTGCTTTTCAGCTATTTACTTCACTTTTATCGGTTCCATACATCTTTTTCTTTTATGGATAAATATTTCAAACTCTCTGATTTCCAGCTACATATTCAGGATCCAAGGTCTTTACTACTGCAGCATCAGTGATCTGTTAGCTTTTGATTAGTTTGATTGTTATGTGTCAAACTGAAACATAATTTTTTTTTTCCTTCAGAAAGCAGCAAAAGAAAATAAAATTGAAATGATAGGTTATCCCATATGGAAAGGAAATATGTATTTACATTGCAATTTGTTGATTTCATTGTTTATTTTCAATCAATTTTCGTTTTACCTTTACATGATTTTGTACATACTTGTTTATTATCATGTTTGTAGAATTAATATAAAGTTCCACTCTTAGTCAGGATGATTGCATGTTTGAAAGTGAAGAGACATGAAGATGAAGAAGAAGATGGTCAGACATTTTTCTCAAAAAATGGAGGGGTTCTATTAGAGGAGCTTGTTGCCTTCTGTGATGGCAAATCTAATCCTATTCGTCATTTCTCTGCAAAAGAGCTTCTGAGAGCAACAAACTGCTGTGATGCACACCAGATTTTTGTGCAAGATACCCTTTACAAATTGTACAAAGGCTCTCTAAAGGACCGTCCAATTTTAGTGAAGAAGTATGACTCTAGATGCAGTTTTTTTGAGGTAAACCCGTACAAAGATATTGCCATCGGATCACAAATGAGTGTTCACAAGAATGTTTTAAAAGTTATAGGTTGCTGCTTGGAGACCGAAATACCAACTATAGTGTATGAATTTGCTGGCACAAAGAGACTCTCCACATGTATCTCTGCTGCTAATGTTCAGCCTCTACCATTGAAATGCAGGTTGAAAATTGCAATAGGTTTAGCAAATGCAGTTGCATATCTCCACACTGCATTTTCTAGACCAGTTATCCATCGAGGTATTAACTGCTCAAAAATCATATTGGATGAGAACAATGTTCCCAAACTCATTGACTTTGGACTATGTATATCTATTCCTGAAGGGCAATCGCACGTAAAGAGGGCTATTATAGGGACAACAGGGTGGTGGGTTCCACCTGAATATTGGGCTAGGGGTTATATAACAGAGAAGGTTGATGTTTATCAGTTTGGATTGTTTCTATTTGAGCTTTTAAGTGGGCAGGGGCTAGCTTACTTACCAATGGATGATACACTTGATATTGGAGAGCTCTCCTTTGAAAAGTTCATTGATGCTGTTGATAGTATAATAGAAAATGAAGGAATTGATCAGGAGCAGTTGTTGAATGTTGGAACACTTATCAATAGATGCACCTCTTATGATGAAGAAAAGAGGCCAACAATGATTGAGGTTGGCAGAGAACTCAAGCAAATTGATCAGTCTTTTACATCACCTTGTTAGCCTAGCCCTATTTGGCTGTACTTTTTCTCAATAGTTGCTGAAAAAAATCCTATAATAAGTACCTTTGTATTTGCTTGATTGGCCACTACTAAATGTCCTACACAAGTTTTTATTATCCTGTGAATACATATTAGCAGAAGTTGTCTCCTGCAGATGTGTATTCCTCTGTTAATTTGATTAATTGTTAAAGTTTTGTGTAGTGTGATGCTTCATTTGTTCATTGAAAATGTAAGTTTTTCATTTAATCCAAAATTAAACAAGAATAAAAGTGAACAATTTGTTGTTGCAAGTATACCACACTGCTAGTCCTCTTACTTTGCATTTATTGAGGGATTCCAAAGAACAATTTGTCCATTTTGATGATCTTTTATCTTTGTACAAATGCATCAATGGAGGAAACATGTTGTTTCACCATTTGCTTTAAGCTTGCAGCCAGCAGCTCCTTTCAATATATATATATAGCATCTTCATTTTAAATTTCTTTTGGCATGTTTTTCAACGCTCATTAGTGCTGTTCAATGGCAAAGAAAACCATCAGGAGCAACCACCCAGAGTAAACAATTAAGTGCTAGGCATATCAAAAATTGCTTTGGGACAAGGAAACTCAAGTATGAATAGTTCTGAGTGAAGCACAACTTTGGCAAACAGATCATGTTTCATCAGGGTTTGAATCTATAATTGCAGTAAAGGAGAAAAGAGGAATTTCCACTGAGTCATCAATTTGCTTCATTTCCAACCACCAATAAGACCTTACATTATAAAAATTTAATGTTGTAAGACTAAAAAGTCATGCAATTACTGAAGAGAACTTCAAGGAAGCTGTCCAAGCCTTTGTGATGGGAAACTTCCTGTGACCCAAGTTTATGTCATGACGTTGCATTTTATCTCAAGTATAAAACTACTGGTGGGGAATTTATCTGTTGACCTGGAAGACTTGTATATGTGCAAACAACAAGCAACGAAAGGGCGGATTATTATGCTAAAATGGGAGTGAATAGAACAAATGAATTGTTATGTGTTTATCCTTGATTGTGTGGATATGACAGTGTGCATGGGGGGACACCCTCACTTGTGTTTTGAGAGTATGGTATTATGATTCTGCTTCCTGGGGATAATCTATTATACGTTGTCTGTGCTTTCCAATGCTAGAGGGAGTTTAGACCTTATCCTGTTGTCAACTGGAAGCAGCGAAGAGTTCATGGAGATGTAAGAGGGGAAAAGAGCCCAGCAGATCATCTTTACTTCTCTAACTTGTTCTGCATTTTGAGAGACGCTATGCTAGACATCTGGTCTGGCTGTAATGTTTGTTTTCCTTTGTTAACATCGCCTCCATGATTAGGGAGTTTTGTTGCAAGGGATGTATAGTTCACAGGGTATTGACTCGGCTGTCTTTCTGTAAGCCAGTCAATCACAGTTTTCTGACTGTTAAATCTCAGCTGAATATGGTCTTTTTTTATGCAAACGAGTTCTTCTTTCTGCAATGAATCAAAGTTAACTTTCAGAAAAAAAATAAAAGTTTTCATTGCATCAAATTTGATTCAATTTGATACTAGTGGATACTCTGCTCATCAGTCATTCCCTAAAATTAATGGATGCATATTTATTCAGTGTAGTAAATTGACTTACCCTTGAGATTTAAAAAATATAAAAAAATTTATTGAATTAATTAATATACATTACAGCAGAGACATGAAAGCCTCACTATAGCTATTGAGCATGTAAACCACAACAATCATCCACCTGGAATTTTATTGAATCCAATGGAATGGATACATGAACACGAGTTTTAAATTGGATTGAATAATCAAATTTAGTTAATATAAGAACAGGAGTCCAAAAAAATATGAGACCTATATATTAAACTGATAGAAGTGAAGTAAATAGCTGAAATAAATGGAGAAGCTTTATGAAGTTGCCTTAGCTGTTTTGCAACATCAGTTATCGTCGAATGGTCTTCTGGATTTTCCTGGGTGCAACTAAGTGCTATGTTTGCAAAAGCTAGCAATTCATCACGATTGATTCCTTCACTTGAAATATTTTGATCCACAATTTCAATTAACCTCTTGCTTTCAACATAGGACTGCACGAATTCTTCTACAATGGCATCCTCTGCAGCATAATATTGAGAAGCATTGTTCCTTCCAGTCAAAAGCTCAAACAATAGTCTGCCAAAACTATAAACAACAGCTTTTTCTTTTATTTTTGTACCTTCCCAAACTTCTGCTGCCATATGCCCTGTTATCCCTGAGATAGCATCTTCTACATGGGATTTGCCCTCTGGCATATGGCTATGGAGAGCGAGAACTCACTAATCTTAGCAACATAATTTGAATCCAATACTATTGATATCAGTGAAAGACCTCGGTGGATAATGGGTCTGGATAGAGCAGTATGGAGATATGCAACTGCACTAGCAACATCCATTGCGATTCTTATTCTAGATTTCCATGTTAATGGCTCAGGCTGCCCCTCATGAACTTCAAAGATACATTTCTCGAGAGTTTTTTCACCACCAAATTCATAAACAAGAACTGGATTTTGAGTCTCTAAGCATCATCCAATGAGTTTTCAAACATTCTTGTGAACACGAAATGAACATACCTTGCAATCTCTTGGTCAAAATTGTAACCATCTGTTGCTTTGCTCAGCTCCTCAGCAGAGAAAGTACGAATAGGATTACATTTACCATTACATAAGGCAATGTGTGTAATCATCGCCAAACATTTTGACACAAATTTAAAAAATCAAATGAAGCTGATTGATATTGAGCTTTAAATTTAAGATCTTTGTTTCTAAATTTAATTTATATACCAGCAATTTAATAATTGTAAGCAATCAGATTTATATTAAGTCTATGCCTTCAACTCGAACAAGCTAAACAACTAAACTGAGCCTTTGATGGAGCCTGGAAGATTGCCAATTTGAGTTTATTTTCAATTTGTGATGGACCAGTGGCCTTAAAAAATGCAATGAATTATTTCTCAATTTGAGTTACTTTATTTTCTTGGTTGAATATCTGCAAATGTTCTGCGCAATGAACCTTGCCATATCCTTCTTTCAACCAGAAGAGAGTTCCAAGAAAGGAATTTAGAATTTTATTACCATAACAGTCTTCTCTAGCTGCTTCAGATGAAATTGTTATCTCTAAATCAAACAGATTTAAAAGAACTAGTAAACTAATGAATTTTGATAGTAAAATGCTAAAATCACAACCATACTTTTGTTTGACTTAATTTTCATTTCCCTAGTGGAGCAACTCACTGACTTTCTTAAAACAACATAATCTTACAAGCAAGTCCAGGTTCATAAATAGATGGCTTTGGGTCTGGGGACCTATGCATACTAATACAAGTACAGCTTACAAGATTTTTTTAGCTACTGAGTAATAATATAGCTAAATGGGACTAGGCTAACAAGGTGATGGAAAAGACTGATCAATTCGCCTAGGTTCTTTGGCAACCTCAACCATTGTTGGCCTCTTTTCTTCATCATAAGAGGTGCATCTAAGGATAAGTGTTGCAAAATCCTGCAACTGCTTCATATCAATTCCTTCATTTTTTATTCTACTATTGACAGCATTAACGATCATTTCAACATGCTTCTGATCACTATAACGTGTCGCAATATACAAAACTGTCTGGTATCCACTTAAAAGCTTAATTAGAAGCAATCCAAACTGAAAAACATGAACCTTCTCTGTTATATAACCTCTAACACAATATTCAGGTGCAACATGCAATGATCTCCGTGTAAGGGGATCCTCTATGTCTGATTTCCCTTCAGGAATAGATATGCTCAGTCCAAAGTCAATGAGTTTGGGAACATTGTTCTGATCCAAAATGATGTTTGAGCAATTAATATCTTGATGGATAACTGGTCTAGAAAATGCATTGTGGAGATATGCAATTGCATTTGCTATACCTATTGCAATTTTCAACCTGCATTTCCATGGCAGTGGCTCAACATTAGTAGTAGAGATACATGTGGAGAGGATTTTTGTGCCAACAGATTCATATACTGTAGTTGGTCTTTCGGTCTCCAAGCAGCATCCTATAACCTTTAAAACATTCTTGTGAACACTCATTTGTGATCCAATGGCAATATCTTTGGTTGCTAAATCACCCCAACGACAGTAGTTGCCATACTTCTTCACAAAAATTGGACGGTCCTTCAAAAAGCCTTTGTACAGTCGATAACCAGCATCTTGCACAATAATCTGGCGTCCATCATAATAGTTTGTTGCTCTCAGAAGCTCATTTGTAGAGAAATGACGGACAGGATTAGGTCTGCCATTACAGAAGGTAATAAGCTCCTCCAATAAAGCCCCTCCATTTTTTGTGAAAAATATCTGATTATCTTCATGTCTCTTCACTTTCAAACATGCAAACATCTTGCCTACGAGTGGAACTTTATATTAATTATACAAACAGGATAGTAAAGAAAAAGAAAACTGATTGAAAAAAAAATTCCCTATCTATATGGGATAACCTATTATTTCAGTTTTATTTTCTTTTGTTGCTTCCCAAAAGAAAAAAAAAACACTATGTTTCAGTTTGATGCATAGCAATCAAGGAAATAAAAAACTAACAGATCACTGATGCTGCAATAGCACGGACCCCGGACCCTGAATATGTTGTTTGAACCAGAGAGTTTGAAACATGAGTATTATATTTGGATTGAGTTAATCAAGGTTAGTTAATATAAGAACATGAGTCCAAAAAAAGAAAAAAAGATGCATTGAACTGATAAAAGAGAAATAAGTAGCAGAAAAACAAAAACGAAAACATGAAGAGGAAGAAGAAAAGTGCACCTGGGAAGTTTCAATAATAAATCAAGATAAAGGGAGCACAAGATTATCCAAGAACTCAGTCTTGCAAATTGAACCAAATTTAATGCAATGAAAAGCTGAGGCAGTTTTTGTTGCCTGCACATATACAAGTCTTCCAGGTCACCAGACAAATATCCAACAGTAGTGTTATACTTGAGATAAAATAGTGAGTGGTGACATAAAGTTGGGGTCACAGGAAATTCCCATCACAGAAAGGCTAGGCAGGCAGCTTCCTCCAACTTGTCTTCAGTAATTGCATGACTTTAAAGTCTTACAACAGATGTGAAAACAAGAAAATGAAACTAGAATTAATTCTAATTCTGTTTGAATGTAAGGTCTTCTTGGTTGTAGGAAATGAAGCAAATTGATTCAATGGAAATTCCACTTTCCCTTTTACTCCAATTATAGATTCAAAAACTGATGCAATGTCATCTCTTTGACAAAGTTGTATGGTTCACTCAGAATCAATTTTCATACTTGAATTTCCTTGTCCCCAAGAAATAAGGAGCTGCTTGGTGCAAGCTTAAAGCAATGGTGAAATAACATGTTTCCTCGATTTCTGCATTTGTACAAAGATAAAAAGATCATCAAAATGAACAAATTGTTCTTTGATTGGAATAAGTATTAAGAGGACTACCAGAGAAGTATGCTTGCAATAACAAATTGTTCACTTTTATTCTTCTTTAATTTTGAATTAAAAACCTGTTTAATAATAGTTGGAAAACTTCTTTTTTCAATGAAACAATGAAGCATCTCACTACGTAAAACTTTAACAATAAATCAAATCAACACAAGATACAACTTCTGCTCAAATGTATTCACCGTGCATCTATTAAGCTAACAATAATTTATTAATTAAGCTCTAATATTTTACTTATAATGGATGGAAAATGCCTTGAATTTTTCCAATAATTAGCCTTTAACAGTTTACATTTCCATTGGAGCAACCCACTGTCTTTCTTATCTTAGAACAACAGAATCTTACAGCCAGGCTAAGTTTCATATATCAGTGGCTTAGAGTCTGTGGAGCCATGCATACAAATACTACTACCGCATACAAGATTTTTGCAGCTACTGAGAAATAGTATAGCCAAATGAGGTTAGGCTAACAAGGTGATGGAAAAGACTGATCAATTCGCCTGAGTTCTTGGGCAACCTCGATCATTGTTGGCATTCCTTCATCAGAAGAGATGCATCTAAGGATAAGTGTTGCAAAATCCAGCAACTGCTCTGTTATATAAGTTCCTTCATTTTTTATTCTATTATCAGTAGCATTGATGAGCTCTTCAACACAAAGCTGCCCAAGATCCAGTGTTTCATGCTCCAACATTAAGTAACTTGCCTGCTGTCCACTCAAAAGCTCAATTAGAAGTATTCCGAACTGATAAACGTCAAACTTCTCTGTCATATAGCCTCTATCCCAATATTCAGGTGCTACCCACCATGTTCTTCCTCTAATATCCTCCTTTACATGTGATTGCCCTTCAGGAATAGATATACATAGTCCAAAGTCAATGAGTTTGGGAACATTGTTCTGATCCAATATGACATTTGAGCATTTAATCTCCCGATGGATAACTGGCCTAGAAAATGCATTGTGGAGATATGCAACTGCATTTGCTATACCTGTTGCTATTTTCAACCTGCATTTCCATGGTAGAGGCTTAACATCAGTAGCAGAGATAAATGTTGAGAGACTTTTTGTGTCATCAAATTCATATACTATAGTTGGTATTTGGGTCTCCAAGCAGCATCCTAAAACTTTTAAAACATTCTTGTGAACACTCATTTGTGATCCAATGGCAATATCTTTGGTCGCAAAATCACCCAATAGACTGTGATTGTCATACTTTTTCACAAAAATTGGGCGGTCCTTCAAAGAGCCTTTGTACAGCTTATAACCACGACCTTCCACAAAAATCTGGCTTGTATTATAGCAGTTTGTTGCTCTCAGAAAGCTCTTTTGCAGAGAAATGACGGATAGGATTAGATTTGCCATTACAGAAGGTAATAAGCTCTTCTAATAAACGCCCTCCATTTTTGGTGAAAAATGTCTGATTATCTTCACGTCTCTTCACTTCCAAACATGCAATCATCTTGTCTACATCATATTTACAAGTACTATTATGTTATGTTAAATATCATTTATCCAAAAAAATAAAAAAACCAAAGATAAGAAAGCTAACCTGGATTTGCTTGAGTTAGCCCTTTTTTATTACCTGTGATGGATTTTGTTTTTTCTGAGTTAATTTGCTTATAATTCGCTATTCCTTCCAAGACTTGTTCCTAGCTTCAAAAGATTCTTGAAGTTAAATACAGAAACAGAGGACTTATTCTTTCAGGGTAAAAGAATCAGTGTTAAATTGGATTGAGTCAATCAAGCTTAGTTAATATATGAACATGGGTCCAAAATAAAAGATGTAATCAACTGATAAATGAAAAAAGAAAAAGAAAAAGAAAAATGAAAACAAGAAGGGAAAAGGGAAAATGCACCTGGGAAGATGGAATAATAAATCAAAGAGAAAGGAAGCACAGGATCCAATAACTCAGAGAAATAATCTTCAAAATTGAACCAAATTTGGTGCAATGAAAACCTGCAGCAGTTTTGTTGCCTGTACATATGGAAGTCTTACAGGTAAACAGACAAACGTCCACCAACATATTATATCTGAGAAGGAATGCAAATGAGTTAACGTTGGTCACAAGGTAGGCAGCTTCCTTTTGACTTCTCTTCAGTAATTGCATGAGTTTTAGTCTTACAACTGATGGAAAAATGGTAAATGAAACTCAATTGATTTTGTTTGAATGTTAGGCCTTCTTGGCTGCGGGAAATGAAGGCAATTGACTCAATGGAAATTCCACTTTTCTCTTTTACTGCAATTATAGATTCAAGAACTGATCCACAAAACTGCTAGCTGACAACAGTGTTATTCAACCATGATGTTTGATTTAAGTCAAACCACTATTATTTAACTTTAGGCTACCTTTTGCAAGTTCTGAGAAAACCAAACAAGAATCAAACTGAACACTCATAGGAATTTTCCTACATTGTGTGAGAGAGACAGGGAGTGCCTGTGCTCTTCATCATCTATGTTATGACCTGCCTTGAACTCTGGATGGGGGAGAGCAAGGTTAAGTTGACAACTGCCATGCATTTAATTACAACAAAATACTTCCTCCGATGCAAATACTTAGCCCGCATGAATTGAAGAATCAACTTCTGATCCAGCCAGTAGTTAGGCTAACGACTTTTACTTTGTTTTCTACTTATTCTTGACATGATTGAAGATATGGTTGGTTGTTACATACGGGTTAAAGTTTCCTATGGACTTGCAAAAATTGTATCCCGGATTCAAATAACAGTGACTGCAGTAAAGTTTAGTTTCACAATTTCAACTATTAGGTAAAACAATATGAAAATTTTCAATCAGGATGAATCGGAAACCTTGCCCTGTACCACACTCTCAATGCAAAATTTAATTTTTCACTCAGCCTAAAAATTCTGAATAAGAAGAACATTAGTTTTTGTTACAGATAGCAAATGAATATTCTCTACAGGAGTAACTCCATCGTCGACATAAACAAAATACAAGCATCTTAATTTCATTCAACTAATCAACTAATGAACGGCTGAAGCTTAATTTCGCCTAAAACAAAAACAAAAAACAAAAGAACAGACATCAAAGCACCAACTCTGCTATTGGTAACTATATTTTATCAAAGTAATTTGTACAAGCATCTGTTGACAATGCTCTCAACACAAACTTAGCATATATGTGCTGAACTTGCCATTAACTTGGACAGCCATTCTTCTGGTGATGTTGAAGAACTTCCCTCTTGAAGGGTCATGCCAGCACATTTGGACAATATTTCCTACAAGCAATCCATAAACACCATGCATCAAAAGAATTATCAGCGCAGAGAAATCAACCAACAAGGAAGACAAATTATGGTGCTGGTCTGGCATGCCTCAATTGATGAAACATGTGATAATAATGTCAGCTTGAAATTTCATCTCCTTCCTTCTGTTCTCCTCCTTATTCCTTTTTGAGTAAAATGAAATTTCAGCCAAATTTGTAATAAATATGGGGAACAGATCCCGTCATGGCAAAGCAGAAAAATAATTTAAAAAGTTTGATAAGGTGTCACTTGCAAAATGTGAGCCCACCATATGATGAGAAGATCCAAGAGGTTGTCCGCCAAAGACCACTAACAGGAACTGGAGCAAATATGTGTACTTGCTTGCATTACAATACCACTATAATAGGATAGACATGGCAACAATGATAAGATTACTCAGTCAGATATTTATTGGTACCTGATAATCTGTTACCAGACCGGAATTCTCGGCTTGCTTTTTTTCCATCAATTTGTTTGCAATTTGGTCCAGCAACTGATATCTGACAACCTGTAGAATTATAGAAGATAGAGTTACTGGCATTTCTCCACATCAATAATGCTATATACACGACATTAGTTGTTTGCAGTCCAGTGAAATTTTATACAACATATCCAGCTTCTAGAGATCAGTGACCAAACACCAAAAATTGAAACCCAGAAGAGAGGAGTTTTAGGTTGGTGAAGCTTGATGAGTCAACATGCCTTACACCACCGTTAAACATGCTTAAGCATGAGATTTTACTTTGATACCAAGAATACAGTCGGAAGCTCCAGCACAACCACATTAACTTTACAAATCATCATTTGGAGGCATAGTTGGATATAGCCAATAAAAAAACAAAAAAAGGAAAAGACTTCAGGTTAAATTGATTAACTATACCTGCATTAACTTAGCTTCTGAGTCTGGATGTAGGTACTGACTGGCTCTCTGCTTCTCTCGATTCAAGCACCAGAACACCTTGAAAGTTATAATAAATCGTTTACCGGTTATTTATTGTCCATAACATTTAAATAAATATAAGAAAGTTACTAAATTTGACAACAAAACACCTTGTGAACATATTCAGCCGATGAATCAAACAGAAGCCATTCTGAAGCTAATCGAGAATAGTAACCAGAGATTTCTGTAAGCATGATCTGCTCAAAATCTTTGTAATAGTTAACTCCGCTATAGTCACTAATTTCCTCAAAGATATCTAAAACATTCTTAAGCAGGATGCAGTCAATCTGCAGTCCGTCACGCTCTTGATTGATCTGCACATAAAACTGAACTAAGCCAAATTCCACTGAGAAGATAACTAAATTTATAGGGTAAGTAAGTACATGAAGATTACCAAAGTCAATGTTGCATCAATGAATCTACAATATAACTTCTTGAAAACCTGAAATTTTACATTAGACCCAAAAAGAATTGCAGTTACTCCAAAAGTTTTTCATGGAAGAAAGCATACATAAATTGCTCAAGAAAACAATTGTCACCTACCAGATCGCGGAAGCAACTAAATGAGATGCCATTCAATGACTCGAGCTCAATATGTTGAGGGATAAAGAAGCGATCAAGGTATTCAAAGAATCTACATAACCATCTTGCCATCAGCTTATAATTAGACCACATTACTACTAATTCTCTCAGCAAATTTGCACCTTGTTTATTAATTAAGGTTGGCAGTACCTGAGAGCAAAGAGGAAAAGAAAAAGCATAAATACACACTTCATTTAGCATCTGTCTGCAGTTCAGTGTATATCCACATTGAGGTTCTACAGCTTCCCAAGCAGTTTAACAGAAAAGGTACATAATGGGGAATAAAAGCACCACATAAACAAGTCTGGAGACAGCTAATATAAAAACTAAAATCTCAAACAGTATTGGGAGAGATCACCTTGTTACATTATAGTTATTTTACTTCTCAAACAATTAACATGTCATAGGTGACTTCAGTACGCAACAGAACAAACTAAAGAAAAACCAGTATGACATAATTTGTGCATGCATGTACAACTGACACATGCAAAGATTTCAAAAAGAAAGAATAATGGAATACAGAAGTACACTAAGATTAATGAATAAGCACAAAATAAATTCTTGAGAGAATTTCAATGAAGTTTCAGATTTTAGATCTCAAGACATTTCAAATGTCTCACCGTTGAAAAGATGCTCTCTTCCAAGCTGTTTCTAAATTTCTCATAGAGCTGCATTGTTTTCTCGTTAGAGCTATGGTAAGTGCACATGAAATAAACACATCTACAGTAATTGTGAAGGATAGCATATTTGTGTGAATAACACTAACCAACACTGCATAGGATGATATTGAAGAAAGCTAATTTAAATGAAGTAAACCTTTATATAAACAAAGGATACTCATAGAACCTCTGGTATTCTTCTCCACTGAACTTTGTTTCAGGGTACCCTTCAATAATCTTCTTTGCCTTAACGATCGCCTCATCCATTATCATCATTCCTTCATCTAGTGGTATGTACTTAAGAATCATGTCTCTCTTCTTATACGTCTTCACTTCACAAGTACCTGCACAACTATCATTGCCACATTATGCTAACCGGTATAGAATAGTACCATTCAGAGCTTAAGAAGCAGTAAGCCGACAGCACTAAAAGTGGCAGTTTCAAGTAATTTATACAACTTCTCATGTGCGAGATATTATCCGCTGCAACAAGCAACGAATAACAAAAAGGATCATATTTTACACTGTTTATTCATTAACAAAAAAATCATAGGTAAGAAGAAATATAACACTTGAATTTCAAATAGATTTACATAACAATGTCAATCAATTTTAAATGAGGTTTATTTACCTCTTAAAAGATCAGAAAAACATAAAAGCATGAACTTGTAAATCAAATTTCATTCCTTTTCCACCATATCACTAAGCCAAACTACAGACTAAGAAAATTTTCTGAGAAAAATCACAAGAACCAACAACTGAATAAAGCATAAAGTTCCATGGCATAAAGATAAAAAATTTTCATTTCCCAAATCTTTGAAAACACTCAATTTGCAAAGAGTAAAGCAAAAAAAATAGCCATCAATAAGCCAAGTAAAAACATCAATAAAAGAATATACAAAATATCTTCACAAACCGTTTTAACTAACAAGAAAAATTATCTGGAAAATACCCAAAGCAAAAGAATCAAATGCCCAACAAAGTTCATAAAGTAAAACATAAAATTACTTCAAAAACTCATATACCAAAGACTTAAAAATTCTAAAAAAAAAAAAAAGAGTTAAGCAAATACACCATACTCCACTGGAAATAAGCAGCAAAAGAGAGGGAAAAAGAAAACCCTGAAAAACCCCTGATTAAAACATCCTCATACATTAGAGAATTAGAACATGAAAAGATTATTAACAAAGAACAAGGAAATCTTTTACCTGATTTTTCTACTTTTGGTGAGAGATTTTTTCCTTGGTACAGAGAGGTTTAAAGGTAAAGGACACTGCCAGCTTTCTCTCCCGAGTGAGTGATTACAGTGCTGAGGTGGCATCTTTATTAGTACCAAAATATTTAAAATATTTTAATAAATAAAAATATAATAAGTATTTATTTCTAATTTTTCTCTTACTTTTTTTTTTCAATTTTCAATTTATGCAAATTAAAGATTTCGTATTATCTTTCGTCAATATATGTTAACCACGGTCAGTCTTCAGTTTATTTTCCTATTAAACAATTGCTACAAACAATTTTCTTTATTTAATATATGCTATTCATTATTCAATGCATTTTAATTACTCTTTTTATTAGGAGTGATACTAAATAAAATATTCGGTAACTTTGATATACCCGTACTCGAATTTGATTATAAAATTTAATATTTGTATTTTCTTCAAACTCAATTAATAATACCTTGTTGAAATTCGATAAAACCCAAACCCATTTTATTATGTAGGCACTCACTACAAAATTTGACTCAATTTGAATTTAATAATAAAAATAAAATTTAATTATTTTTACATATTTATTAGTCAAAATTAAATTAATCAATTCAAAGTAAAGTTTATATTTAAATCATTTATAAATTAAATAATAATTTATCTATTATAAGTAATACATATACTAAAAAATAATAAAAATTAATAATATTATAAAATTCATCATTTATAATCGAATTCGAATAATAGATATTTTAAAATTAAATATTATGTGTCTAATACCCAAACTGATTTATTAAATACTTTAATTATACTTAATTAGGTTGAATAGTGCTTGATATCCATTTACATACTAGCCATTGTCATCTCTATTTTTATGACTTTTTTCTTTGAAAAATTCTCTTTATGTCTTTCAAAGTTAGATCAATAAGATTCATGATTTATAAATGCATTTAGTATGTCTATAGTGTAAATGATAATCATGGGTGAATTAATTATTATTGATTAAGAAATTAGCAAATATCTGCTTTGGTTTTTTCCCCCCTCAACTTGGCATAATTGCAAATGGAATAACATTATGTACCATATAATGCCAAAAATGTTAATGGCTTGAATCTTATCTACTAATAGTAATTAGTAACCTCATCTTCCCAAGGAAAATCCTTAAAATGAATCAATGACACTAAGAAATAAAGATATGAAAATATCTCATAGACTGAAATTTCAATGGTTTCAACTTGCAATTTAATTTGTGACATTTAATGACTATTTTTAAATCAAGATTCCAAAACTCCATCCATCTCATTATAGTTATTTTACATGGTATAATGCATTGATTGTAATGCAGTTTTAATGTAATTTTAATAGTATTATTTTTGATCAAAATATTTATCAAATTTCTATATATATATATATATATATTTTAATTTAATTCTTATATATTCAAAATTAAAATAATTTAATCTTTTAATTTTAAAAATTATTTTAATTTAATTTTTTTAATATTATACAATTTAATTATTAAAAATAATGATATTAATATTAATATAATATTGATTTGACATACAATGTTGACATGATAAATAAAAATAACTTAAATTGCTAATGTGATAGTACTACTTTAACATGGAGGGTGATGTGAGTTCGGGCTGTGACACGGCATTGCCACATCAGCACATCACCAGTTATACTGAAGACTGAATGGAATAAATTGCATGGGTACAAGATGAAACTTGAATATGTTAGCAACTTGGATAAAAGTACAAAAACTCTCCAAAACTAGGTAAAATAGAACAAGTTGTGAGTGAACTGATTAATCAGGAACCGATCGGCAACAGGAAAGAAAAAAGAGACAAGGGAAGAATCTATTCAAGTGATAAAAGGAAGGGGAATGAAGATGGCAGTTTCAGAAAAAGTAAAAGAGAATGTGATGAAGCCTGATGATAAGGTACTACTTGAAATTATGTTGGACATATTTTCACGACTACCTCGACAGGCTCTTTGCAGGTTCAGGTGAGTGTCAAATGGAATTGCGGAAGTAGACGAGAACCTTCTTTTCTGTATATGTGATCATGAGGGTTGAAGAATCAGCTGCTTCACCTGAGAAATCAAAATTTGTTGCTGCAAATCTATCTCCATTCTGCCTTCTCACGACAATCTTATGTGTGTTGTCACTAGAAAACCACATCTATGTTTGCAACCCAAGCAAGCAAGAATACATGGAGCTCACCTGCCTAAGGGCTACGTACTGTTGGTTTCGGTTGCCTGAATACCTGGTTGTTCGATGTTTCTATCGCAATACCGATTTCGAAAACATCGACAATATGGAGCTTGGGTGTGAGGTCTTAACCATAGGTAACTACTGCACGAACAATTCGATTGCTGCTTCTTGTTCTGCATGGAGGATCTTGGAAGAAGGGTGCCCTCAAATCATCACATGGATGCAAATCCAGTATTGGTTAGTGGATCAATACTGCATTAGAAGATTGATGGAGAAGATGAACAAATCATGTCGTTCGATTTGGAAGTTGAGAAGTTCTGGAACCTGCCACCCCTCCATGTGTTAAAAGAGACCCTGAAGCATTCAACCTGGCAGAATTGAGGCAAGAGCTTTGGCTGAATCATTATGACCATGGTAACCCCCATGTTATTGACATGTGGATTCTGAAAGATTTTGAGAAGTTCACATGGGTTAAGGCACATATAGCCTTGATTTCAGTCCAATTAATACCTCCAATGATGAAGAGAAGGAAATCCACATGCACCAGTTAGTAACTAAACAAAAAAAATATAAATTTGCAGTATAGTTGAACTTTTCAAATTGTATATAATCTTAGTCTAGCTTTTAACACTATTAACTTAGCTTGTTTATGTGGTATTTGATCAATAATATTTACATGTTTATGAAATAAATATTTTTTAACAATTATACATTTACAGTTCGACAAATATAAATATTTTTTAATTAAATTAAAAGCATAAAAATACAATTTTTATGGGGATTGCTATGGAAAGAGAAAAGAAAAAATTGTCACAGCTTTGAGCTTATCTTTCAATAACACGCCTACTGTTTTTAAATTCATTAGGATCATCACTGCCTATGCTATATTCATTAGACCTTCCACGGCGCCTATTTTCAAATACTCCATATTGCCTAGGTCCCTTGAATTTCTGCATGTTGTTATTCTTTCTGTGCCTGCTATAGTCATCCTCTCCAAACCTCCCTTTATCACCTCGAGACCCTCGATATGATTTATCGAAATGATCACCGGGATAGTTCCTTCCATCATCCATCTTGGTGTTGGACCTAGATCGTGAATCTTGCCTGAAGTTATAATCACCATGGTCGCGAACATTGTTTCCTCTTCTGCCAGATCCTGTTTTACTCCCTCTTGACCCATTTCTCCTGGAATGTGGACCTTCTAAAACAGAGAAGGAACCACCCTCAAAATCGGAACTTCCCCCTCTCCGAAAATTGCCTCTACCATAACTCCATTTGTCCTGTCTCCTCCCTTTGGATCTAAAATTGCCAAAATCGTCATCACCTTCAGAATCCAAATCAAGGTCTTCGTCTGAGCCAAAGCTTAAGTCCTTTGATGCACCTCTACCTCTATGCTTTGAGTCAGCTACATGACTCGATTTCCATTTAGGATGAACTGAAAGCTCTTCATCGGAATCAAAATCCAGCTCATCATCTTCAGAACCTGATAAAGCTACATTTTTATGCATGTGCTTAGATGACTTACTATAAGAAGGAAACCTTGTCCCTCGACGAGCAGGAGCACTATCATTAGAGCCCTTGATATTTTCTAGTTCAGAAAACACCTCATTGTCAGAGTTAGAAGCTTTCTGCCTTGGATTATTTCGCTGAGTGTCTATCTCATAACTGTCAATGTCATCTTCATCATCAAAATCATCAAAACCCATTGCATGTTTGCTGCTATCTATGTCTGAATACTTTCTTTCATGAACCCTTGAGGCTCGGCCAGCTGTATCAAAATCATCTTCAAGCCCTCTAAACTTCCCTCCATGGGTCTGGTTGTCCAAAGGAGAAGCTTCACTCATTACTGGAGAATCTGCATACTCAAAGGCAGCAACATCTGCCCCGTCTGATTCATCATCATCAAAGTCAAAATTCCAGGCATTAGAGACCTCTGGTCGGTGGGCAACCTTCTCCAACCTTGTTCTTGGACCAGGTTGCATTTCTTGTACTTTACTCTCCATAAATGCATCAGGTGGACGCTTGCAATCACAATGAAAACATGCCATATTTCTCCTATAATTTAGGAAATTGCACCTGCCATAGCACATAACAGCAAGAAGCAAACAGTTCAACATATTAAACTACTACAGAGGAAGAGGTGCATTCTAGAGTTTATACTTGATAAGAAGTAGGAGTCATCATCCTTGTTTAGAAGAGGATCACTGAGAACATAAAATCAATAAATCAAGACTATCAACTTATTATAAATGCTCATAACAAACCCAACCCAACCCACCACACTCTTTTTTCCTTTTTTGCAAGAAAAGAGAAAAGGAAAGAAAAAGATACACACAAAAAAAAAAAAAGGACAAAATAAGCCAGACATGAAAAATGTCCAGATCAATAGTTGCAATCATATTTTCTAGCACAAGTTTTCTTTTCAGTAAACAGTTGATAATGGAAATCTCCAGCATTTACACTCATGAAGCCAGCACGTGTTGAACCATATTGTGAAAAGCTAAATCTACCATTTAAACAGAACAAATCATATACAGTAAATGAACTTTGAATCAAATGATTTTACATTAAAACCTAAGCAGAATGTGCAAGGGAAAGAAAATTAACTCACTCGGGGCATTCCCATTCCCCAGGAAGCAGCTGTCTCTTTGGCCGCTTAGCATCACACTGTAGACAGACTGTATTCTTTGCAAAATTCATGAAATCGCACCTGAGACCAACATCCAATGATTTCAGAGATTAAAATACGTTTAAGTTTTAAGTTTAACACGAAGCATCATAAATAAGGCTCAGAACATGCTTTTGTACAACTACAACAGCATTCCATGATATGGACAGGATGCATCTCAATCAATATTGTTGCAAAGATTACAAAGTCTCCAGAAAGAACTCCACGTGAAACTTATAACTCTAACAGAGCTCACATACTTGGGACAAAGCCAATCCCCCTTTTTCATCTCAATATCATCACGCCCAACTCGTTTCTTCGGAGGAGGTGGAGGTTGCTTCACTTTTGGTGGAGGCTTCTTTATCACTGGAGGGGGAAGATGTGGGTCTATAGGAACAGCACTCAACTTTACAACCTCATGAAGCAACTTACGAACAACATTCTTTACAGACTTCTGTTTCATAACAGACTCATTGATGACTGACCCATTCATAGAATGAAAACCATATGTCAATAAGACACGCATAACATCAATAGTTCGTGCCTCATCCTCTTTGTTTGTTAAAAGATATGCTCTCTCGCAAGAATTCCTCAAACTGCAGGAACTACAAACCTGATACACAAATAATTGGTCACTATTCACTTTTTTTTTAAAAAAAAAGAAAAGCGAAGCAAAATTGACATATGAAAATGAACATAAACACATGAATAATTAAAGGGCCAAAAACAAAAGAAGCAAAAACAGCAGAAGTTTTGTTAGATATGCCAAACATAAGAGTAAAGAAATTAACACTTACATCTCCTTCATCAAGGTGAACATGCTTCCTCAAGAGTTTTGCAGAGAACACCACCTTCTTGTCTGCACTTGGGCATCCAAAACCAACCAAATTTTGGACATCCTGTCTCGACAATGACCTGAAATTAACTTTCTATTTGAGCAAAGCCAAGTCAAGTAGCATTAATCAAAATGAATATTCCAAATAACTCCTTTAATAAACATTTTTCTTGGATAATTTAATTAATTAATTCATCCAAAGAAGCAGAAGACTGCTACAGAGGGAACAAACTGCCTGCGAAAAGGCAGAGAAGTCAGGAAACAAATAAGAAATGAACAACTAAAACAACTACAGTAGGGCAAAAACAAAATCAGCAACATTCTTGATACAAAATTTTCATAGTGATTCCCCATCTTTGGCATAAGCAACAATTACTAATAGTATAAGCAAATCCTAAACAGCAATTCATTCAGTAAACATTTTACCAAGACCAAACCCTAAAAAAGTCCACTGTGAACTTCAAGCACCATATCTCAATTTCTGAAGAAACAAAGGACAAGAAAGCCAAAGTTCAAATCAAAATTTGGCAATTATCTCTATTTCCCATTATAATCAAGCTCTTGATTATTTATAAAACCAATCACTACCATACGGTCCACTTGCACACAATAATCATTCTTAACAAAAATTAAATTGAAAATTAATTAATTAATTAATAATAATAAACAGCATTCCATACACAATCCAATCACTTATACAGTCAATCTTCCAACCAAACTTAAATTCTAATATATTCAAGGCCAGGAAACTAAATCCATCTCTATGCAACGTATTCCAAATTAAACAAACTAAACCAATCTATTTCAAATTCAAATACTATGCCAATCATTAGAAACCAAACGTAAAATGAGAAAAAAAACCAATATACAAACCTCAATATATCAAACCGGTCCTTCCCAAAATTAAGACAAGCAGTTTGCACAGTCTTGAAGTCTTTAAAATCAATTCCAGCATTATCCTTAACTTCCTCAACAACATTACTCAAGTCAAATCCCAACTCTTCCACCATCTTTCCCTCATCTCTCCTTTTATGATCAAAGTAATTCTGCAGCACTAATCTCTCCATCAACTCTATCCACTCCGGCCATGGGTGCACCAACTCCACCTCATTGCCCTTCTGCCTCCCCAACTCGCCCAACTCGGCCAGTGGATCAGTACTGAAAACACTGGAGTTAGCCTCATTTTTAGCGGTTTCACCTTCAGAGCATTCCTTGTTCTCCCCATGCTTCGATTCCCTCCAAGCACGAATCCGCCGGAGGGCATCCCCGTTTCGTGACTCGGTTAACTCGGGCGAGTCAGACAAAGTAAAGTCAATAGTACTGGCATCATTTTTGGCAATTCCAGAATCTGGGCTTTGATCTTTGGGTTGAAATTGCTGTTGGGTGGCTTGAGCTTCCTTTTTTGATTGGCGCCAATCTCGGATACGTTTGAGGGTGTCGTCGTATTGGACCGATTGTTCTTGTCTCTGTCTTTCAATTTGATCAATTTGGTCAAAAACGAAGCTCATGCGAGCCGAGAGAGAGGTTGGTTTCGGTGGGTCTTGAGTGGTGGAGACCGCCGGCTGCGGTGAAGCAGAAGAGAAGGGCTTTGATTTAGTGGTGGTGAAAATTGGAGAGGGAGAATAGTTGTGGAGTTTTAGATGGGTTTTGGAAGAGAGAGGAAGACGTTTCAGGAGAAGGAGAGTGAATGGAGACTGTGCCATTTTTTTTTCTTTGGGGTGCAAAGAGGGTTAGGCAAGAGGTACACTAAAACCCTCCATGGATGAACAAGAACAAGAGCTCCATAGGAAGGTTAAACCCTTGCAGAGAAAGAGTGCCAATATATGAATATTGGGCCAGAATTAGCCCAATTTAGGACCCAGATTGTTAGGGAATTATGTACATTAAGATTATTGGGATGGTAAAAGGCTCAGCCCAAAAGACGGCTTTATAGTTATTTGTACCATTATTTAGATTTTATTTATATTTAAGTATAAACTCACAAGAAAATTAGAAATTTATATGTATTGCTACTCCCTAGGACTTTAACATATACTTTTATTATTCTAAGATAAAGCAATATATACTTTTTTTGCAAGATCAAAGTTAGTTAGCTATTTCCTCACATATTTAAACGACTTAATTAAGTTTTCATGATCATAATATAATTAAAAAATTTATTATTATTATTGTTATTTGTTGAGTTATAAAATGTTCAAATTTTTTAAAAACTGTACAACAACAATAAACAAACACTAATTACATACCTTACAAAACATAAATTTTAACCTATAAAACACAAACTATCCTTCCTATTTCTTGTGTGAAGAAATGTGTTTAAAACCACTCCACCATACATTTCGGGTACAAACCTTTATCGGTGGCAACTGCAGAAAGACCTTGTAGTTCCTTCTGAACTTTACGCCTCTCGTAGAAGACTGAGCACGCAAGTGAATTGCACTTCACCCCACTCTCCACAAGCCAGTCCCCTCCCCCACAGTGCCGACATATCTGCTCGAAGAATCCATAACCATGGTAAGCAATACAAGCATCAATGACTATTACTAATTCAATATGAGAAATTTTTACTGAACTGATATGAGACTAAAAAGAGATCAAATTACTTACAGCGACAAGGTGTTGCATCTCTCTCTCTGATTTTGAAGTCCTCCCAACTATAGCTGTAGCAGCTGCAGTTTCGTTTTCTGAACATTTACCACATAGATGGGCTGATGCATAGACCAAGTCACCGCAGAGTATACAGTGTTTTGAAAGATAATAATAATCAATTCTAGTCCGCTGTGGATTTAGAGCATGTACACTGCATTTACCAAAAGCTTCCCTGGCTAGGCGAGGCATTTCTGAGAACCACCGGTTCAAGTCAGCACCAACTAGCCCGAATACCCTCTGCAGTGCTGGGATTATCTGTTTGTTGATGTAGTACAAATCATTTAATCTGTATGGGGAATTAATAGCTAAAAGTTCTAATGGATCCACCACCATGTCAACCAGGCGAGCCCCAGGCTCTCCATGGATTACAACATAGGGTACTCGCTCTGCATAGCGTGGCTCTGCCCTCGGATCTGCTCTCATTGCTTTAGTTGCCACAATTGCTGCTGGTGGGAGTGAACCTACTTTTGTACTGTATGTTCCTAAGCGAACTTCTTTTGCAAAAACAAAATCCTGAAGAGACACCCTGCCAGACAAAATCCTTGTCCATTGACGATGCAAATATGCTTTAACCTATATGAAACAAAACAAAATGGATTACAACAGAAGCTAAATTTCATCATCTATGATTAAAGAATTTGCCAATCTCTTAATGCAAACTGTGATGGCATCTACGGTGATTAGGCAACAAAGATCAAGAATTCATGGCAATCTCTATATTGTGGGGGCTCTTTCTATATTTTATCAGGCCCTTAAATATGGTAATTTTTCTATAAATTGCAACATGTCAGGTGGCACTTATGTTAAAGCCTAGTTTCTTCCTTGATAGTTCTCCACTAAACCACTTTGTTAAATATTTACAAAAGGTCAATGGCTTCCAGGTGAATTATCAGCTTAGACAAGTCACACATAAATAAGAGAACTTAAATACCTTTGGTATATCCTGATGTTCAAAAAAGAGTCTTAGTGACTGTTCCATTGTCTTGGCAACAGCACCACAAGTATCCCTGCGAACTGTCTCAATGCCTTTAGCGTCAAAAACAGGTTTGACTTGGTCAGGGCTCTCATAACTATAGCCAACATAGCGCTTCTTAGTAAGGAGAAAACATGGGTGATAGACTTTCTCCATCTTCAACGTAACTGGATTTGGGTTCATTGCAGTTATTGCAGATGCAATCTCATGTCCTATTTTGAATGATTCTTTAACTGTGCGCCCCTTAAGGAGGACAAACATGCTGCAATAAAGAAAGTCTTTTAGTCTGGCCATACACTAAATTCATAGGAGGGACTAAACAATCCAGTATTATCTCTAACATGCATATGAGGCACCATTCATTGTAAACCAAATGTAACACCACATGCATCACTAAACCAGTTTGACTTACATTTTCATCCCTAATGCAGTCACAGGTTTGACTACATACCTATCAGTGTCACCATATATAACATTAGCCCTCCATTTTTCATGTGCATTTACATAAGAAATAGCTTTTTCAAGTGTACTACGACCACATTGAACAATACTGTCTGCAAGCTCAGCACAAGGCATGCGACCACTAAACCCAGCAGCAGTATAGCCATACGTTACATTTGCTATCAGCTTCAAAGCAATCTGTCTTGCATTGAATATCTGAAAGAAACATTAATCATGGTAAACTATCATGTTTATTAATGAGCATACATAAAGTACATTATCCATGGAATAACAACAAAGAAAGTCAAATGCTAATTTATCCAGGCAGAGAATAGTTTATTTCACATTTTACAGTCAGTACTTCAAGTAATATACTGAAAGAGGCAATCATCTTGAATCCACGACAGCATAGAACTAATTTTGACTCAGCCTTGGTTTAAAACTAGTGTACGTAGACAAAACGGAAGATGAAAAAGGAAGAGAAAAAGTAATGATCTGAGTTAAGCAAGTTTGATCCCTGCATCAGATCATTAGCAGCTGGGTGTCTAAGAATATGTCCAAATAATTAGCCTGATTTTACCTTAGAGTAAAACTATGAAGAAACCACAATTCTTGGCAACAAACATACCCTCTGAAGAACTTGCTGTGAAGGAGTCAACTTCTTCATTGCTTGTTTCACCATTATTCGAGTTGATAGTATTTCCTCCAGTAAGCGAGGCAGCACTCCTTTGCGTACCTATAGAACAACAAAAGTGGACATCACAGGATGCAGCATCCTTTTCTTCTTTTTTATTTCTTATTTTCCAAAATGAAAGAAAACTTATACAGTAGAGAAGAGGAACTTCTAAAATAATTACCTTTGAAGGCACATACATAACACCATTTGGAGTAAGCAGCACTTGACCTTTTAGATTCTGCAAAACATTTGGATTTGGCGCATATGAACTAACCCCAAGGGTATTTACTTTAGAATTTGCAATTTTTCCAAGGCATGTGCAAAAGCAAAGGTTGTAGGCAATTATCATGGATGGATAAAGAGATTGAAAGTCCAACACAACAACTGGATCTGCATAGAAACCAGATTCAGGTTCCATCACAAGAGGCAAACACTCCATTGCAGGTTGAGAAGCAACCTGTATAAGAGAAAAACTGAAATAGTCAATTAGAACAGTTAATAGCACACAATACATAGTATAGATGATGACAAAGAAAAAGATGAAGAAGCACAGGAAGCATAACTCATGATCAGAAAGCCACCAAAAAAGAATACAAAGACAAATATCATCAGCAACTGGAAAGTTAGTTAGGAAAAATGAGATGCAATCATACTGAAAAGACTGAGTCAGCACTAACCTGTTGGTTTCCAGGAGAAATAGCAAGATAATTCTGTGTATGTGCCAGCCTCAGAAACATGGATTCAACACGAAACTGTGAACCTCGAGAGAGGACAGAAAAGAAGTCGATGCCAAAAACACGAGCAAGTTCTGATGTTCGATTTATCTGCAAAAGCCAACATTATCACAATATAAAACAGAGTGGGTGAGTGAAATAACAAGAGAATAAGGACTATAAAATTCAAACAAAACTATTTCTAGCTACTTTCCCCAAAATAGATGGATATAAAAAAATTGTTTTGCCAACAGGAAACAAACAGATATCATTGAAGAAAAATTAACGTACAAATTAGATATCTTTTCATTAGCCCTCTGCAGTAACTATAGGGATATATACAAAGTCAATATCCTTCCATGAAGAACCATGTAGAACTCACAAATTTCAAACAGATTGTGTTAATGCTGTCCTGTAGACATCATGTACAATAGACCAAGACAAAGGCAATAATGACAAGTGACAACAATAGAAAGAATAACAGTCATTTCTGGACAAAAAAGAAGCCAATAGTTATAGATAGGAGACAATCAAATTTCACCCAACTAGCATTCTGAATGCATAGTTGTGAAAAAGCATTCCTTAACATACCATATCAAGTTTATTCATTATCTGCAGATTCAGCTTTGCTCTTTCAACCACATATTCAACACATCTGTACCTTGCTCGCGCAGGACCGCTTGAAAACCATTTTGTCAATACTTTATAAGGAATTGATGGAATTTTTTGCCTCAAAACAGATTCAGCTACAGCTTCAACTGTATACATGTTAAGTTTAACCTCACCACGCATTAACCGCCAGACATTGAGGACAATTCTACCACCAACATGGACACCACTGGCATGTGTTCGGCCCCATTCATCCTCTATTATTGCATCTTCCATCACAATAGAATCAGCAATCAATGGCTTAGACAGCAGTTCTTCCTGTGAACCATTTTGAGAAATGTTAGTTTCTTTAGCTTTTATCTTGGTTTCAGATGGTGCCCTTGATACTTTGTTAAGCAATCCTATACCGAGATATGCAGCTCTTTCAGCTAGAAAACCAAGAGAACCACCTTGCACATCCCAACCCATTAAAATATCAGGATCAAGAGAACATAAAATCTTCATAAACTGACCAAATAAGTTCTTCTCCTCAGAGAAAACAAAAACGTTAAACCCAGATATTCCATCAAGATTCCTGCACATAAATCAATAGGAGTAAGAAAAGCAAAAAGAATGGACACTTGTTATGTGAACAAGATAGCACTAAAAGTTTTTGGTGAAAGTGATTTTGGCATAAAAAATAGAAGCTGATTAAACCTAAACATAAAAAAGAAGAGAATGATTTCAGAAACAAATTATAGAATATCAAAGGCTGCAAAATTAACCAATCAAAGTGCAATTAAATCAAAAGACTACCACACCTCTGATAGAATCCAGTTTTACTATACAACAGCACATGAACTTCAGTTACAGAATCATTGTCATTCTGAATTGCTAGAGCTACAACATTGACAGCATCAAATCGAGGATCAGGTAGAAGGTCTCCTCTAGATTCTGTGTGAACCTGTCAGCAAGTGTTGCAGTCTTTTCAGAGATCAAACTCAAAAATTTTACTAACCAAGATACCATAATCAAGAATTTCCATCTGTAAATATACGTGTAGTTTGAAGAAGCAGTAAGCAGCAACATTTCAAGCTTATCTTAATGGTAGTAAAGTTAATGCCTCTCTAAAGCTCAGACTACATATAGACGTCTCTAGGATAGTCTAAAGGGTTCAATGTCAATATCCTATGCTTATTGGAAACAAAAGGGAGTTCAAACGTGCATAATGTAATATTGTAGAACTTCAATAGGTTGCTATTGAGAATATTTTGATCATGAAATGATGTTTAGGATCTTTTGTCAAGAAACCATCTAAAAATTCTACAAGAAAGGGCACAAAAAGGTCACAAGCTGTTTTTATAGAGTTAAATGAGAGACCAAACTTTATAAAGCAATTTTTAAGACATAAAATCAATTATAAGGGATAGTGCAACAATGAATATGCCACGGCTGATACCTCCAAGCTTAACAATGTAAGCTGTTGCCCAGCACCAACACTTGCAGGATCTCGAAATCCTATTTGACTTAGTGGAGTGGGCCTGGATTTTCCATCTGGGCCTGAAATCTGAGACATATCCTGTGAGCCATCAGCGCATGCATTGACTGTCCTAATATTTTCCTCACTTCGACATGGTGTTCTCGACTCATTACTGCAAGACTTCACTTCTGAACCAAGGACCATATTCTTCTCTGGATGCCCTTGTTCCAACATTGATGTCATGTGATATTTAGAACTAGATTCGGTCAAAGCCTCATTACAATTAACAGGAGAAGAGTTTTCTGAAGCAATCAGACACTCGGTAGAGCCTGAAAAAAGTTCTAGCAATTAATAGGGGTTCTACATCTTGTCTTTCTACAGAAGAAAGCTATAAACCCTACCTGCTAAAGATGGAGACTCTGATGATACTGCATTACTCTGTCTATGACTTCCTAGAAATTCAGAACCAACAGTTACGATAGGAAATTGATAACAGTAGGAAATGAATAGGCAGCTGTTTCAACAAATCTAGCTGATACCTTCATCACATGACAGCCACCTATATACAGATTCTGGAGAAGGGGGTGAAGATACAGGCGTTAACAGGTACAAGAAAGAGCCATTATTTTGATAGTGAATAGGGACTCCCAAGGCAGCTTCTTGATGAAAATTAGAGTTGTTATTTCCCAGGAACTTGTTTTGAATTTCCTTCTCTTCTTCGCAGCCCCTTGAGAAAAATGGGAGAACCTCATCCAAAGCTCTCCCTTTAAGAAAAAAAATACAAGTTGGTCAACCATGAAGCCAAGCAGTTGTAGTAACTAATAGATTTTTGTAAGGACCTCAGTCAATTGCAACTAATTTAATAGAATTTTCGTTAACAAATTCACAGATGAAACCAAATTGCCAAGAATTCCATACACTTTACTCTGAACAATACAAGCTGCGCAGCCAGTGACTTATTGACAATGATCTTTACCAATAAACTATAACCAAATAAAGAAATGTGAAGTCACATGATATTCGAGAAATACAAAATTCACCTGATGTTCCCTGACAATTTTCCTCATTAAAAAGAGAAGGGGAATGTTGGGTAGTAGGTAAATGTGTAACATTTTCAGTTGCTCCATCATTCCAATCTGCTGTTGGGGGTTTCTTGCAGAAGGTCATGCCAATCAACTCCACAGGTTTTGCCTCCACATCAACAACCAAGCCAGTAATGCAACCCTGTTTTCCACCACCACAATCTTCCTTCTGTAGATAACTTTTGTCAGTCATTGCATCTATGCCCACAGGTTTGTCAGCAGATAAGGAAATTTCACCTTCATAATAAGTTTCGTGGATGTAACCATCCATCCCAAGCACTTTATGCTTATGTGGAGAAGCTGACAAACACCAAGAACCATTAGTGTCTGTTTGCTGTAATCTCTCGTCAGGAGAATCTATTTCCTTGTGGGCTTTGGAAGTGTGGGCATCAGTATTTCGAGATTCTGCAGAAGTTACTCGAAAGTCAAACTCTTTACCCTTAAAAGTTTCACAGTGACCAATGGAAATTGCAGAGTCATGCTTCTTGGGGTAAAAGTTCAACACTAACTTCTTCCCCATTTGTTCACGATGGCCTGTGTTAGCCTGTGCTGGATTAGAAATGCCAGATAATTGGGGTAGAGTACAATACACCGAATCAGAATGGGTAGGCTTCAAACCAACAGCTTCAGGAAATTCCTTTTGTTCATTGGCAAGTGATGGACTATGGTTGAGAGATCCAGGGTCCTTCTTGTCAAGCTCATCATGTAACCCATGAAAATTCAATTGTTTTGGGCAAAAGAAACTATCTGTTCCCTTTTCCGTCTTCAAATGAATATTTTCACTCCTAACAGACCCACAATCAGCTAGTTCAATTCGGTGGCTTCGCTTTCTTCTCATCAAGTCCCGCACAGAGCATTCAACCAATGTACCTGCTTCTGGTTTATCACAGTCACTGGCATGTGCATTTTCATTTAAAGGATCAGAAGCTTTTCCCAAATCATTTTCAGCTGAAAAACTTGTACCTAAACATTCTTTAATTTCATCAGCACATCCTTCAGTTATGTTGAAACTGACACTATCAGAGTTATCCTTCCCCTTCCCAGTCACAGAAAGAGGTAAAGAACCCCATAAAAGTTTTTTTCTTTTGCGCTTGGTACTAAATGTTTTACCGGTATCCTGGGAGGACCTCTTCAATTCAGTTTTCATGTCTGCTTTTGATGAATTTGCAACTGATCCTGCAGAAGGTGATATACCTAGCTCATCACTGGAACCATCTGTTTGGGGAATATGTTTGCCTGATGAGATTTGAATATGATCACAAGAATGAGAATTTCTTTCCTTCAGACCCTCAAAATCAATTAAATCCCTAACCGAATCAAGAATATCCTGACATTCTTTCTGTGACTCACTCTCATAATCAATACTGGCTTTCTCTAGCACCTTATCAATGGTTGTTGCAGGCAACAAAGGAGTCAATATAGTCTCACGAACAAGTTCATCATCTGAGTTTATATCATCAGCAGCGTGAGAATTGGCAAGCCATTTTAATAGCCCCAAAGCTTCGGTATCTGTAGCCTGTAAAAGCAAGAATTAATAAATACAAACTGATGGTACAAGTAGAAGAAACAGGAGCCTAATGAGAAATAGACAGTTTCAAGGAACTGCAATAGCCCATACAGTTAATCATAGCCCCCATGAATCCACCAAAGTTTATTGTTCACAATTCACAACTATAAATCCAGTAATGAGAAAGGGACAGAAATTGTCCTTAGTATTAGTACATAGAACCAACCCCATTATGAAAAAAATGCTTGCATATCAAATGCCTGGAAATGGTATTCCACAATCCCAAGAACTACTTTTTTTTACACACACAATCCCCAAGAACTTAATCAAGCTTGCAGATCATATAACAACTTAGAAACCTAAAAGTAATCCACTTGAGAAGAAAATTTATTAAATGCCTGATCTAAAAGATAGTATTAATGTTTTATTAAGTTAATTAAAAGGAAAGATAAAAATGCATTCTAAAGCACCATTCAACACCTTTTCAGATAAGGTACAAAATTCTGCCAACCATTATATATTACTATGCACTGAAATTTGCCCACTAAGAAAAATAAAAATTATATTACACAGAAAAATGAAAACAGGTAGTACGTGATGCTTCGATAGAGAGAAAATGAAAAATCAAGGTGAGCCAACCATGCATTCAATGGCTGCTTCTATTGCCCAACAAGAAAGAGCCGCTAATGGCCCAAAAAATTCACATGGTCAATACTTATAAAACGCATAGGAATATAAATGGCCAATAAATGAGATCACCACCCAAGTGTAAAGAAACACTAGCATTTAGGAAGACAAACACAATAAATATATGAAAATTACCTTTGGGTCAGACGTTATTACTGTTTGTGATGATAGTATTTCACCAACAGACCAAAGTTCAGGACAAACATCTTTTTTTTCAGATGATGCAGCATTCATCTCTTTTTCACATGGCTTACAATGTTGTAACAGAGACCCAAGCAGGTTTTTTTCTTTCAAGCAACTCAGAGCTTGTGGAACAGTATGATTCAAATTGATATGTGTAGGTCCAACCAAATTTTCTTCATTGGCTGATGGCATGACTGACTGTTCAAATCCCAATTCATTGCAAGACAAAGTTTCTTCAACTTTGCTGCACAATTTCATTAGTTCATTCTCAAATCCAAGGCCAAGTGAGAGAGCTTTCAAAACATCTTCTGAGAGTGGCCTGTCAGGGTAAGAAGGTAGAGCCATCTCATGCATCCCTGTCCTTTCATGCTCTTCCTGTAACACCAACTATAGAGTTTAACAAAGGAACAGACTATTTCACCTGATTCATGTAGAACAGCTTATAGGTAGGAAAAGACCAAACCTCCCAAATTGGAATAAGTGACTGAACCATTTTCAGATCGGAACAGGTTTGGGATAAAGATGTATATAATTTGAATTGCTGGTTAAGAATGTCTGAAAAGTAAAAGTAATGAACAATTTTAGATACAAAATGAAGAGTATATGCAGTAATCACGTGAAGCAAAGCCATACAAACCATCTAGGGTAGCATCTCCCTCAAGTTCACATAAACTTTGACGTTTAACATGGCAAATGTCTAGATCTGATGACACATCAAGTTCAGTTGAAACGTGCCACATCCATTCACCTGGAATTGTGGAAGATATCCAAACTGGAGAACTTATGCACGCATCATAACTTGAATCTGCCTAATTGCAGTTTCCACATCATAAAAGAGAATAAGATTTTAAACATGAAAAGAAATTCATGCCTTTGTGAAGCATCTGACATCAAAGGGGGAAACGAGAAGGGGGGGGTGGGGAGGGGGAGAAAGACAAAAGAGACCTGAAAACCAGCAGCCTTCAAGGTAAATTCATCCATCTTCTGCCCATGTTGGCCACAATTATTCATTTTTCTGGGATGGAAAAGATCAGGTATTGGATTACGAAACTTCATCCTTGATAAATGAAGATGACCCATCCCGTACAAGTTATAATCAACCTACAAGCGAGAGCTTAGATCTTGAAAACATTATCAGCAGGAAGGGCAGTTGGAGGAAATTTGAGCATGTTTAAATATCCCAAGGAGAAAATAGTTTGTATGAAGCATTTAAGGAAAGAATAAGATTATTTTCAAGATCAATAAAAATGCCATCATATATTTTCACAACCATTCAGCAATCAGCACAATAGTTGCATTTCTGTCTAGCCATTTGATGAGATATAGAAGACTATATGTAAGTGTACCTGGCTATTCTATAAAGAGCATTAACCAATTTGACCATAAAATGCAACATAACTCTTACAAGCCAACCATGAAGCATGGGAAGAAGCAAGGTAAAGAGATATAGACGATTTGCAAATGAAAAACAAAATAGAAATAAAACACCACCTATACAATAATATTAACGCACATTTGTGCAGTAACATGTGAATGCCAAAATCTTTGAAGCAATAGTACAAAATCATATACTTATTGCTGCTATTTTAACAAATCCACTATCACAAAGCACTGTCTGCGATTCAGATATGAAAGCAGTATTGATAAGTCATTAACTTAGTAATGCAATAGTAATATTCACATTAAATAAAAACCCATGTACTTACAAGAAACTGAAGAATAAACGGAATGTGTGATTCATGAGGCTGCAAACTTTTATCCAGAACAGCACCTGCCTGAAAAACAACAGCATTACCAGCATACATCATTCAGAATATGCACATGCATACATCTATACCTGTGAGAATGTGCACATGGCCAAACAAAATGATAATGTAAACATTTTAGACAGAAAATATAGAGTTAAATCTCCAGACCAAAACCAACAATGTCCAAGGGCTTCCTGGTATCTGATCTGAGCCTACATTGTAAAGCATATGCAGAAAGTGACAATCAAGTGCTATTTCTATATTTCTAATTGCCATGTATCCTAGGGAACAGTTAGTAATTATTTCCTTAAAAATTTCTAAATATGCACAAAATGCTCAGGAATAGGTATGCCAAGCATAATAGACCACTTCCTCTGACAAATATCATCTACAGCATAGATCTGAGATCAGAAGGTAAAAACCGGTGTAGCATACATTCAAGAGCAAAAATAATAACAATGATGGTGATTATGTGGATCAAAAGTCCAAAACATAAATCGACGAAGGAAAACCAAAAATAAAATCCATGAATGATAGAAATGTTCAGCAAAAGTTGGACACCATTAACAAGACCATACCAAAAGAAGATTGGCTGCACGAGAGACATCATGTGGATAGTAGCTTAGATCATGTCAAGGTCCTCAGCAGCATTCTCTTAATCTAACTTATGAATACAAAAAAGTTCTTTGTTTCAAAAGAAACAGAAAAAAGAACAACTATAACAAAGTATAATATTTGGATACAGATAAATCTTCACAAATAGCTCCTCAGATGAATGATAACCATAAAACTTCTTTGCTCGTACAAGGCTGCAACCATGCACACGCTGCCGTTTCGAACCAGCACCACCTTTAAGCTGCAAGTACAAGTCAAAACAAATTCACACCTTATTTGCTGAATCAGCAATGTAATGGTGCCACAAGCACAAATCAATAATCAGAACTCCACCAAATTTAACCAAAAATACCTTCAAGGCTTTCTCTAAGGCAAGTGCTAAGGCATCTGCGCATGCGTGATCTGTGATAAAATTGACAAAGAATACAGTTTACTCCAAATATTACCCTTACAATTGACAAAAGAAAAGATTAAAACATCATTGCAAACATGCTCAGTACCTTCTTGGTGTGTATGAGAGCCCTGAGGTAATATATCCGCCAATGGAACATATAAATAAGGCAAAGCCTACAAGAAACAAAATGTAATGATTGAGCACTCATAAACAAGAAAGAATCATACTTAACCAAACTTACATATAACAAATATTTCGAGCATTTCTTAGTTAACAGTACATTGCAATTGCAATTGCTTAACAAATACATAGCCATCTCGAAATACAAAACAAATAACAGATAGATCATTCTCAAAGTACGCCAATTCTCTTAACTGGTAACCAAATCCAAGCAAATAATTGACAGAGCAAAGAAAGCAGAAATCTTACTCTATGAATATGCAAACAAGTCTTCTGACCAGCCGGTGATGAACCATAAATTCTTATAACCGGAACTTCATTCACTCTTTCACCTTCAAAATTTCAAACAATTTAATTAAATAACAAACTCAAGATTCATAAACATTTCGGCTTCATTACAACCAAAGAGTAGCTAATCAAACGTTTCAGAATTTACTCGACAATAAAGAGACTGTTAAAAAAAACGCAAAAAAGAAAAAACATAAAAAGAAGTTGTACCTTGAAAGCTACTATAGCAAATATCGTAGCCGGAGATGGGCGGTGCCATGTAATGATCGATGGACACGATTCGAACGCTGAAAACGTTCGAATCCGGCTGCGAATCCGACATTTGAATTTCTCTTTTTAGTCACAATAAAAAAAAACGAAATTCAGAGTAAGATTGAAAGATTTTTTTTCTTTTTCTTTTTCTTTTTTTTTTTTGAATTTCTTTTCCGCAGGATTTGAATAGAGAAGTTGCAGTGGAATAAAAATGCTTTACTTGGCGCCAGTTTTTCTTTTGGTGGGGGGGTTTTATAGAACAGAAGAAAATTTCATTAGCTTCTCGCGTACTGCAACGAATTAGATTCAAGTCCTTGTACTTTCACTAATTTACACTTTGACCTTATATTTTAAAATAATGAGAATTCTCACTTTTTTCTGTGTGAAATCATGCTCTTTCCATCTCCAAACATTTGTTTTCTTATTATTTTTATAAAAATTAAAATACAAATTTTGATTTTAATATATTTTATAGTAAAATTTGTAAATTTTTTATAATATATAATATCATACTATGAAAAATCGTGAAAAATGAACAAAAAAATGAAAAAAAAAGAAAAAAGAGACAAAGAAATATAGTTGTACCCGATAACTTTTCTCTTTGTGAAAAATGGGTGTCAGGTTTTTGTTCTTTCCAATTTTATCACTATGAATAAAGTCTAAAGTATCTCTCAAAACATTAGAATTGTAAAAGATCTAAATGCTCATTAATAACATTTAGCTTGCTTAAACATTTTATTTATCAATGTTATTGATTAATGGTGGATTTAATTAAGCATAACTAAATTTCAAATTAATCAAAAGTCCAATTAGAAAGATTGAGACACGCACAAAACTTACAATAATCATAAATCATAATCTCATTAAATAAATACACATTTACTCGTTGAATAGTGATGGAGAAAAGAGATACGGTAAAATCTTTATTTTTTAAAAATTTTAAATGTTTATAATATATTTTATTTTTAAAATTTTGGAATTTTATCTTTATAAATATTAAATTATTTTTAAAATGTTATCTTTATTTCAATTGTAAAATCTTGACTCTGCCAATGTTATTAAAGAAAACACATTACACTCACATTGGAAATTTTATTGATGAGTTGCTATGACAGCAACCTTTATTTACATTTAGGACAAGAAGAGCTATAAACTAGAATCTATGGATAGCACCACTTTTACCATTTGGGCTAAAGCCCAAGTAGCAATACCAATACTTATTTTCATAGATTTTGCGAAGAAGCTCTTTAGATTGAGACACTGTTGGGAATTCCCTTGCCAGGAAGTCCACTTTCACCGGTAGGGAACAGCAGAGTGTATGGCACATTGACTGGGCCAGAACGATTCTTCAATGTCTTATCATGGTTCATCTGAATAATCCTTTGCTCAATCTGTGAAAGCTTGTTTCCGAAATCATTGAAAGCTTTCAATGGTGCTGCATCAGTTGTCCATTTATCAGGGTCGCTTCTTTGTCCGAGGTACACCTCGTCTGGAGAATGCTTGGACAGGATTTCTATCAGGGAAACGCCGAGGAGAGTCATCAGCTGGGAAGTAACTATTTTCAGGAAAACCCTTTCGAAGTTGGTTTCGAGCTCAGAATATTCAGGACTGCCTTTTTCGGGCATGAACATACGGCTGATGGTAGGGCGGTTTGGAAGGTAGCCCGCATAAGGGTATTGCCCAAAGTTGACAGCTGCATGGAGAGCAGAAGCAACCCATATTATAATGGTGCAGGAATGAATCAGATCTTCGAGAGTCTGCATGCTAGGCCACCATGGCTCATCTTTCTTGTCACCATGACCTCTCTCGAGAAGTTCTTTCCACCAGGCTTGAAGTTCAGGGTCTTGTTGAACCATTGCATCAGACTTGTAGTAGAAGGAGCAGTAGGCTCTGACCCATTTTTCAATTGCAAACCAGATCTCTAGCCCGTCAACAGCATAAGGATAGTCTTTTATCAGTAGGCGAAGGCCAAGTGGTGAATTCTTGTCATCAACAGCAATTCCTCTGGATAGAGAAGCATGGAAATTAAGCTATCAGTCCACTAATTATTATTAGACTTTTTTGGAGAATTTGCTTAACTGAAGTTAGAAGTTTAAAAGACTTAAGGCCTAAAGAAGTCTGAGGATCGAATGCCAACTGCTAGACTATATCAAAGGCTTAGTAACAAGAGTCATGTGCAAGTCATGTGACTATTTAATGTAAATATTTTTTTTAACTATTTTACCATTTCATTGTATAGTCATTATATAATTAGTCTAATCTTAATTGAAACAGACTATTATAAATAGTTTACTCGTGATATTTTTCTTCTTTAAGGAAGAATGAAAGAACTTCTTTTTCTTCACCATCGTTTCGCTCTCTCTGCACATGTTCACTTGGTTTTAACAATTATCGATGAACCTTTCCATTTTACCACTTTGGAGCTATAAGATTTTACCTCTTCTTGAGATCAATAGGGAGAGCCTGCTCAAGGAAATTCCAACTCTTGTAAATTGCAGATGACATCTCCATGGCATATTTTCCAGGGAAAACCGTCAACTCTAGAATACCATTTGCATTAATCAAAGTTTGCCTAGCCAGTGCATTTATATTCATTGTGTCACGGAAATGAGGTTGGAGAAGCTTATAAATTGGATGAACCACGCTTAGCTGCCTGTTTGTTGCAATCACAAATGGCTCAATCACTGCATGAGTGTTCAACCTGTGACCAAAACCCGAAGGCATTAAAAACCCCTCTGTTCAAATTAAAAACTCACCCTTCATTGACAGATTCCATACCAGTGGCTTATAAGCTGATGATAACCAGAGTCATTCACAGCCACATAAGCTTTAGCCAATTGCCATATGCTACCCTCAACTCCCTCTTCTGCCGGGGTGTACACCTTGCTGACACAACCATATATATCAGCCTCTGGATGTGGATAACTTAGTTCGATTGCTAATGGTTTCAAAGTGCCATCAGCAGTTAAAAAGAGAAGTGTCCTGGACGCATAAGTTTTTGTGGTGGTAGTGTTTATCCTCCTCAGGTATGGCATCAACGAATCATGATGATCCAATATGAATAGCTTGTTGCCCATTAATGCCTGTGAATCCCACCCCCTTTCAGTTTCCTGGTTTATGGTGTAATAAAAAAATCAGATGTGAAGCATATTACCTGTTCTATCGTGTATCCACTCAGGTTACACTCTATGTGTTCTTTCCTTATGAGACTGTTTTGGTTACCGTATATTTTAGGATCTAGCTTGCTTTTTGGAGGAAATTCCTGCAAATCGATTCAGGTTCGGTTACAAAACTTCTTCACCATTGAGAAAAGACAGGAAAATTAGAAAGAAAATGGCTCTAAAGTTTTCAGGCTTAAGCTTACTTCAAGACGACGAATAACAACAGGGTTCACTCCAGCAAGCATTTCTCTAGCGAATTCTGCATCTGTTCGCCATGCACTTTTACTGTCTGCCCATTGATTGAAATTGCAAAGTAAATAAGTGGCGAGGCAAAATAGTATTGCTAAATAATTAAACACATCTCTTTAACTATTTATGACTTGACAGATGATTTTATCAAATCTAATGTGCAACGAAACCGAGATATGATGCATTCTAATTAGTTACTATACGTTCTATACCTTGAATAACTTGAGGCACAGGATAATCGAGTAGTTCCTTTAGCTTCTCGTTGGGGATCAGGCTTCTGATATTACCTCCATAGTAGAGTACTCTCAGAACTTCATTAAAGGAGTCGAACTCTTTTGGTGGATTGCCACAAAAAGCTTCAAAAATTGGAAAGATATTTTGAGGTAAGGCACTAAGTCCATTGCCGACAAAGTCTAGCAACTTCACGTGACCAAATTTCTCATCTCTCGGAACATAAATGAACAAGCTCATTGGAACTGGCAGCCTGCTCTCGCAACTCTTATCTGATAAGAAACAGAAACATTATCAGATCATGCTCAAGATAAAGAAAACACCTCATAACTCATCCGAAATGTAAATCTCCAACCTGTTTGGGACGGTGGTCTGCCTGTTCTTCCCCTACGAGGATAAGGATACTCGCTACTCCCTCCAAGAGTCTGGCGTTGATAATCTTGACCCTTATCAGGATCCCCCAAATCATTGTACAAAGCATAGTCATAGACGCGGTCCCATTCTTTGAGCTCTCCTGCACCATTTCCTCTCAAGACCCTAAGCTCTTCTTCTCTGTATTTACGAAGTGGTCCTGGCATTTCATTCGGAAGATACGTCTGCACAAATATAATACCAAAAACACTTTTTATTTCACTCTATTTGATGGAAATATTAGTAACGTAATCTTAATCATAACAGAATTACTTGCCTTGTTAGCAAAGAAAACGCGATCGCTTTGGTATTTTTCGTCAGGGTAGACCCAAGAGTTACAGACAAAGTGGATTGGACCTCGACCAGGAACATCGTCGAGTGTGACGGTCTTGAGGTAGAATTCACCGTGGTGAGCATTTCGTACCAAGATAGCTCCCGGTGTGCCGAAGTCCTCATTCCAATCAAAGCTAACGTTGAACTTACAGTCCCCTAACAGTGGTGTAAAATTCCAGTTCTGTAAATAAGCCGGCGCTCCTATCTTTCCTCCCAACATATTTGCTGCAAATTAAGGCACATCGGCAAAATATGTCAAAAGCACTCTCAAAAACATAATTTGATTGATTATTAACAGTGATTATATAAATATCAATTCAAGTTTATTGTATGAATCAGTGCAACATCACAATTAAATTAATAAATTAAATTACGATACAGTTAGGATGTTGTTAAATTTATAATATTTATTAACTTGATTTTCTTTTAAATTATTAAGAATCTCCATTAAGTTAAATTTCTATTTGATTTTGACCGATAAAAACAGCTATTCATAATTTGATTTAATAACAGTATAATGTTTTCTTTATCTTCTTCTCTTTTTTTTTTTGTCTGAGTTAAAAAATAAAAAATATTTGGGGATGGAAGCAAATAATTGAATATTTTTATCCAAATTATTTTTTTTGTCCCATTAGTATAAATTAAATTACATCTATAAAATTACAAAATAATTTAGAGTAAAGACAAATATGCATCATCTTATCAAGACAAGAGAATGAAGATGCTGTCTCTTTGTGTACATACTTTTCTTAAGCACGTGCTGTCAAGCTTTGGTCTGACAGCTTCCTTTCCAAATATCAACATCCAACGTGGCCATCTTAATTAAATTAACT